TAACGTTATCATTTGTTGATGGTTTCCTTGTTTTTTAAAGCAACCCCACTAATTCCCAGCAATTACAGTCAAATGCAAAACAACTGTAACAATTACTGAACCAGCTAAAAGCAATTCAACTGCTGTATCTTCTAAGACATTACTGAGTCCAGAGACCTACAAATTAAACAGACCTCATAGTACTAGTTATAATTACAATGTGTTTTTTAGAGCATGGATAAGTATGAATTGCATGATATATACCTTCAGTTTATAAAGCAGTTAAAAAGTTATTTGTAGCGTATTACTAAAGAAAGCAAAACCAAAAGACTTCTAAATTCTTTCTAACATTTTATATATTTTATATATGTATATTTTAGATCTATTCTGTAGTTTTATTTGCTTTTTATTGAATATCTAATCCAGGTATTAGGTAAAAGTCAGATATAGAGACATATGTATATATACACACAATCCTCCTTGAGAAGATTCAGCATAACTTGCTATAAAGTCTTTTCAAACAGTAATTGAATTATAAATGTGTGTGTGAGAGACAGAGAGTGGAAGTGTGAGTAGGTTTTGGTGGAAGAGAACCTACCACATCTCACACCCCATTCACAACTAGGCATAAAAGCCTGATTTTATAGTGTGATAGGAAATGGGCCCCATTTTTTTCTGAATCCTTGATACTGCTTATTTTAACTGACCAACAGCTGCCCAGATTGTTGAATCTGCATTTCAGACTGTACATTGGATACAAAGCAAGAAGAGAGAGGCTAATAATCTGTTAGCTCACATCAGTTGCTTCTGTAAGTCATTACAACATTTATTCATCTGTTTTCCACTATTTTGATTTGCCTTTTGCCATTTCAGATGATTTCAGTAACAAAACTTGCACTATTTAGCCTAGGAAATGAACGCATAATTTGATAGGCATACACACTATCAGAAAATGAACGTGATTTAAAATAGTTAAACATAGCTTAACATGGGTAAAAGAAAGCTTTACCTTTCTGAACAATTCCTCTGTTCCCCTTTGCTGAGTGATGTGGATGTAAAAATTTAAAAAGTGTTTCTAGCACCTATAAATGTAATGAAAAATATTACTGCTGGAAAAATCCAGTGCGTAGTAAATTATATAAATAAATAATTAGTGACAGGTAATTATTCACATACATTCAATGTGTTCTTACAAAACTACATACTTTAAACTGTTATTTATTTCAAACTATAAGTAATGAGTGTCACTTAGAGTCTAGATTCTGTTATCAAGTAATTTATTGGCTTCTTCTAATGCTTTACTACTTTGCAAATTATTCAGTCTTAAATGTGCTGTATGCTTGCTTTTATCTACTGGGCAATTTTACTATGTTGAAAAATACAGTAAAATAAAGCTCTGTGTGACTGTTGTCCTCAGCTTGGGACTATAGGACTCTTTGGTATATCACCACAGATCACATTATCTCTCTTTCCCCTTTTATTTGTACCTGAGACACCCACCAAGCTCAGGGTGTCTGAGCTGGTTTTGCTTTCTCACAACAGGAGAACTACCCCATCTCCACTTCCATTCAAACATAGATATGAGGCTGGTTTGGTAGCCTGACAGAGAAACCCTTCTTGCACTCAACTCACAATTGTCCATGCACGTGCGTGCACACTCATACATGCACTTGCAAGGATCTCCTTCCTTTCAGTGGAAGGATCTGCAATGTGCAATGCTGTGAAGATGGATGGATATACAAAGCGTTATTTACGTTTACCTGATGTTGCAAGCCTAGAGACGTATAGCTGTACATGAATTATGCTCACTTAAATAGATGAATTAGTAGTGTACTTTATAAACCCTAACGTGAGGACAAGATCCCAAGCAGAGGCCATTTGTTCACTGAAGCTTTTTTAATTGTTTTTGTTAAAAGATGAGACAGGAAGAGGCATTTCTGTTGTAAGTTCGAGCCATATACATTTTCTTGAATACCCAGCTCTCTATGGCACAACCCAGTGATCTCAGTTTCTTTTTTTGATGACTTTGTCAGCTTACAGGATATAGCTCTGGATGGAGCTACAGGGTGAAAGAAAGTCACCAAATTCCTCAGACATCCCGGACTTCTTCCAGTATACCAGTATTTGTACAACTATAAAACTATCATATATAGAAAATCAGCATATGTTCCAAAGTTGTTCAACAATAGCAACGTGTAATTATTTACATTACAGACACAGAATTTCTGGGAATAAATTAAAAATAAAATAGATTTTTGGGGAAGGAGAATTGTAGAAATAACTGGCCTGATTACTCTCTTAAAAGTGATGTTGATGTATTCAAAAGGAAGAAATGTTGTGTTTTCTTTCAACTGCAACACTAGCTCTAATGCTGCAATCAGAGTCTGTGTGTACTCACTCAGGAAAGCAGAGGGAGCTGTCTGATGGCAATTACAATTCTCACTGCTAGGGAGCCAGGTCACAAATTAGCAATCTGACTTCTCATTATATCTTGCAAAAAAAAAGAAGACCTGATGTCCTTTGGAAGACAAGAGAATATGCATTGCATTATACTGTAACATAGCAGAGCTGGTAATTAACCAACAGAGTAATTATGTTTCACTACATCTAAGCAGTAACAACAACGAAAAAGACAATTCACTGATATGGGGTATTTAGAACAGGGAAACTAAACCTGACTTTTCTAGTGAATTAGAAAAAAAAAAAAAAAAAACACTATTGAAAAATATGTGCAATAACTGAAGATGAAGCAAAGTAGTATAAAGAAATATAACACCCCTGAAACATAACATAACAAGTTACAAGGAATATATACATATGCGCATATATATATACATATGCATATGTGTATATATATGCGCATATGTATATATTCCTTGTAATATATACCTATGTATAATATGTATATGTATAATATGTATATATTACTTGTATATATACAACCCATATAGACAAATGCGCCAAATTATTGCAGCAGCATTCCTATCAGCAAAATAAAAACATGGATTATTAAAAGATATTGTTACAATGAATTAATAAAAGTCCTATTTTCCACATATAGGAAATCCTGCTATAATCCAAGCAGCTATGGTTCTTTGGTTCAGCAGTGTCACACACCCAGAATGTGGAGCTCTCACCCCATTGCCCTGTGAAGCTATATTCCTTGGGAAAATCAAGAACTATGCTATCACATTTAGTGACTGGCAGCGCTATGTGTGTAGCAGAAAAGTGCATTAGCTGAAACAGACACAGTCACTCAGGTCCTTTTCTTTAAAGAATGCTTATGGCCAGACATTGCAACAGGGAATCATAAAAAAGTCAAAGTAATGGAAAGAAAGAGTTCATTTTATACGATCTAGTGGTCAGTCTGGCCCTATTCCCACAAATGTCAGTCTTACCCTGCAGGCAGATTTCCCAAATGTAAAGCACGAAGCTCAATTGAGATTAATGGCTTTTTTTCCGGAGACCAGGAAAAGCACTAATTAATAAAGCAATATATTGAACAGCAATCATAATTTATATGTGCAATCTTTAGAATACTTAATAAGAACTGACCAACATGACCCCGAGTGAGAATTATCTTCTGCCTGTCTCACACTGCTTTTCATATACCTTGTATTTGTCCAGGTCAAAGATAACATTCAAGTTTTTCTTATTTTAAAGTACATTTCCTTTATGTGCCAGGATTATCCAAAGAATTGTTTGTATCACACTGAGTGGACAGGATTTGAAATCAGTTTATGTTGTAGTCACAGATAAAAGGCTTCTGTAGGTTTAAGTTAAAGTAATTGCACTTACATGTGTTGATTTTGCTTTTACTGTCCATTTCCAGGCTTTCTTGAAACATTTAACTTTGTTTTCCTCTACTTCCTATCACCTGTAATACTGTTACATATTTTCTCTCACACTGCTGTGGGACAACTGTTTTCTACACAGAAAAAAAGTCAAAAATTTTCACACAGTAGTTCCTGGCTCAAACCAACTGTTCTCAGATTGACTAGGAACAATATCCTGTTAAAAAGCATATAATTTAAGAAATTCATGACAGAGATTTAATCATTCATAAACACACACACATTTTCAAAGGTAAGGGAAAATAATTTACTACTTACTTCATGATATACTAGTTTAATGTTAAAGAATCTTTGTAGATGTTCCACAAAATGGTCAACATCATGCAATACTTTTTTTTTCCTGATACATATTATATACTTGCACATGTCCTATATCAAGGAATATAAATACACTCACAAATACACATATAGAGTATACTTATCCAACTTAAAAGAATTACATTCAGATGCTGAATTTTAGACATATCACCTAATAAACCGCAAAAATAAATCAAGGTATGCATTATCTTATCTTTTAATTTTTCTATTATCAACATTAGTAAATGATGCTCCATTTTTCCTTGGAAGATAAATCTATTAAAACAGAGAACCAGAAAGTTTATCTTTCTTTACTGGTCTACTTAAAAATTTCACCTTATCTTTTATTCTAACCATCAATTTAATTCTGCTTTGTTTAGAAGTCCAGTTCTCCCAAATGCTCCAGTGAAACCCCAATCCTTCCATGTTGAGCAGCCATCCTTTTAGACTTTGCTTTCTGTTGATACTTCATCTTCTCATTTCCTCTTCACTAGCTTAATTCCAGTTCTTGATGAAGTACTCCAGATTCATCTGTCATCACCCTAAGCATACCTGTTGCAATCTGCAAATTATAAAACACTAAAGAAGAAATTTAGGGAGATATGATTCTATTGACATCAATGAGCTGTACCTAACTACCAAATCTCATTCATGTCCTAACATTTTATTGATTATTTTATTGATTAAACAATCTTTGCATAAGCAGAAATCTCCTTAATACTCACAAAAGATATACATTCATTTTCCATTATTTTATTTTAGTGCATTACATTATGTTATCTACATGCTACACTGAGAGACTGGACTTAAAAAATGTTTTTGCAGCATATAACTTTCTCATGCCCTTTTTTTTTTTTTTTTGCTGCATAATTTTTTTTTAACTTGGGAAAAAAAACAAACAGTTCTTAATAAACCTCATCCTACCTGCAGGATGCTCATCTTACCCTAAAGTAATCAAAATCAAATCTGTGTTACATGTTACTAAAAATCAATGGCATTTCTATGGATAGTGCACAAATGCACTTGGCAGTAATTAATCAAAATTTGTCTACATCATGAAAATCTTTTTATACTTCTATGAATTAAAAATTTATTCTTATTTTCCAATATATTTAGTATACACAGAATTAAAATATTTTGACTCCCACAGTAGAATGGCAGGTTACCCCAAAATATGGTCTAGAAACCAAATTTTTAATTACCTTTTTCATGTTATACAGGATACATACAACATGTATGCATCATGCATAATATAGGTTGATACACATGTATTATGTAATTCAAGTTTTGCCACAAAATCATTAATTCATACTATGTTTACACAGGAAAAGACTTGTAGTTTGTAATTATTATGCTTCATTTAAGTCTGACTTTGAAAAAATAAACAAAACAATATTTCCCTGAAGTTATACATTCTTACAGACTTTACCTTTCAACTATTTTCTGCTCAAACTCAGTTTCTGGTGTATTTTAAAACATATGACTCTATGTAAAACACACTGGATTTGTTTGATGTCAATTGCATTATGCATATCCCCCAACCATGTTTTTTAATTTTATTTAATTTTATTTTTTTATTTTTATTTAAGAGAATATAAGAATTTCAGTATATTTTTCTACCTCAAACTTAGGGTTCCATTCTGTTGAAACGGTCTTTCAGTTCCAGGAATGGGTAAGATTGATTCATGCAATCAGCAACAGTTCTTCTGTGAACTTCTGTGATAGTAAGATTAAGCTTCCCTTGTACACCTTTCCAAAATTACTCTTACGCAACATATTTATTTGACTCACAAATGTAAAGTTGCTAACATTTCCACTGTAAAAGACTGCACATTATAATGCTTACTACAAAAGTGGCTGAACCCTCATCCAAAGAAAGACGGTTTTAATTGCACTGCCTGACTAACTATGATAAGAATAATCACAGATTTTCTGCTATGCAAAATTTCAACACTTGCAATCAGTCACCCAGTATCCCATAGCACTGATTTCACAGTGTTGTCGCCATGGGGCGCTGTGGGGGCTCCTCTTGTGGGGGCATCTCTGTAATTTGTCAGACAAGCACTTAACTGCTGAAACGTAATACCTTTCAAAACACTTTTAATCCTAGTATCCTAGTCCCATCCTTATTTATTTATTTATTTATTTGTTTATTTATTTATTTTTTACATAAAAGCCCTATTTCTGTCAAGAGGACTTTTTGATTGCATAAAAACATCATAGCTCTGAGTGTGTGCAGATTTAAATATGCTTAGCAAATAAACACCAAGATCAAACAGTGGCATGGCAAAGCACACAAAATTAACTATGTATTCAAGTCTTCCTGGAAGTAAGACCTGCATTACAAGAATATAAATTTTATAAATATAATCACATATTAAATAGCATCATTTTTACCAAAACAATTTGATCTCATTTTTTTTACCCATTCCGAAGTTCTTTTTTCACTTTCCTGGATCCTCTTTATGAATAAGTTGGATGAGAATTTCAGAAACCACACAAAACACCATACAGACAGATACTTTTTAAAGCATTTTTACATATTACTAATATTTCAACTACCCTCTTCAAAGATTAATGTTCAGAGCTTGTGGTTCTTCCTCAGTCTGTGTTGGTACAAGCTGACATTCAATTCACAATTAAAACTAAATAGTGGCCTTAGAATTTGCCTTTTTAATGTGAAGGATAATATATGGCTTTTGTCTCATATTCTTAAGGAAACAAAAGAGCTCACAAAAATTATATGAGATAAATAAGACAGTTTTAAGATCAACTTTTATTGAAAAATTAAAACTGCATTGCATATCTTCTTTATAACTTTGACATTTCTTTAACCACAAAACAGAGATTCTGTTTAAAAAATCTCTTCATATTTGTCACCATTCAAAAAACAGATTATGAATCATCGTTCAATTATTTTAAAATCCTGGGCTACTCTCAAGGCCCCTGGTTCTTTCTGTCTGCAATGAATGGTATAATCTATCTTCTCCAGAAAAGTACCTTTAGCAATACAACCAGAATTCTCCTCATTCAAAATCAACAGCTGCTGTTGATTTTCATCTAATGATCGGTCTTTTCTATAAAAATTGCTTCAGTTAATAAGCTCTGCAGCTACATGTTCAGCTAGAACCTTGTCTATTATTTCTTTGATCTGAATTCACCCAGGCAAATTACAGTGATTGTCAGTGTGATTTTAACGACAAAATTGCTATATTTTAAACCTCAGAAAAGCAAAGTTACTCACCTGGAATTGTAATGCTTTGAATTAGTCAACACTTCTGTATATCCATACTTTCTGATCTCTCATGGTTAATAGCGTATGGATTAAAAAACAGGAATATTCCAGGAAAGCTTTTGTTTGAGAAGCTGTAACATATTACCGAGATGAAAATTACCTGATAAGAAAACACAGATGAGTTTTCTTACTGATGACCATAATTGCTCTGTTAAATTCAGCTAGCCAGGTCAGAAACTAATATGAGCCCTGTGCATGTGGAAGCCAGTACATGTAATAGGGAAGCACTCTGGAGCTGATACTAGAATTAAAAGCTTCACACACACCAAAAGAAACAAACTAAACTAAACTAAAAACAGTATAACCTGTAGGTATCACCTATGTCAAGACAACACTGCAGAAAGGCAAGATAAAATTCAGAGTGTAGGAAGATGGATTTAACGCTCCAATCTTTAGAGAAAGCAGCTCTGTGATAACTTTCTCATTTCTCAGGCAAGCAGGAGGAGCTCTATTATTTCTCTCTGTATAAAAGCCATCGATGGCAACAGCTAAAACCTCTGATGCTTCTTACCTCCAAAAAGCAAGATGCACCACTAAATAAGGAAGCTGAAATTCTAGTGAGCAAAACACAATATACGTGCTGAGGAGATCTAGATCTATTCCTGACTACATCAACAGACTGTCCAAGCCTTGCCGTACGAATGCCAGTAAACCATATTACAATCTTTCCTACAGTTTTGCAGTCAGTTATATCAGATAATTCTTTTTACCTAGTTTATATGCTTCTAGGGGATATAAAATTTCAAATACCATAGATTGTTACTATCATATCAAGACAATGATCTGGATACAAAATCCATGAGGTTAAAATGTTAAGGTTAGAGGATTAAGTGTAAATTGTGATCTTCCAGCTTTGTAATACTGTTTCTGAAATAACCTGACAAAGGAGGTGCAGGAAGTTAGAAATTCTCACCTAGGAACTTGTAGAAGAAATCACAATGATTATGGTGCTGCTGGTGTGGAAGATGCAAAATACCCTAGTGAAGTAAGGTCAGTAGTTATATGCATTTGCATTGATTATCCTAGTTCATATTGTTTCTCATAAACCAGAAGAAGTAAGGACTCAACCTGCTGTAGCTGGACTTTGAATAAAGTAAAACTGTGATGGAGACCAGATTTTAGGCAGAAGCCTTTAAACTGAAACGTGACAATGCTCTCCCTTCAAAACAAATTTCATTCTATAATCCTAAAAAACAGATTAAGTGAGAGGCCCTCAGATTTTGATGAATAGCTTATATCTAGAAAGAATAACAATATTGTGGAAGTTGGTACTGAAGTCAATATTCACACTGCTTCTGTGGGCCAGGCCTCAGGTCTTACAGCATAGCTGTTTTACATCAAAAAATGTTAACTAGTAAAGGCATAGTAAGATAACAGCCTTATAATTAAGGAAAGTTATGGTGTAAGATTAAAAAAGCAAGATACCAACTGCACTATCTTGATGAATAGAACCTACTAAAGAAATACTGTACTGCTGGGATTAGTAGGGGTTTCAAGGCTTAAACATAATGATGTATATAATCTTTTGAAAGTCATAACCATAAACTTAGAAGATAGTGACAAATTAAAAATCATTTTAGATTTAACTTGGATGATATCAAGAAAAGGTTTTGCAGAATGTTATGGAAAAGGGATGAACAATAGTCCTACAAAAAGTTGGAAAGGCTGTGCCTTTCCAATGTGATATTTATTTTACATATTCTTCTTTCTACCTGTTCTGACCCAGCCGAAGATGTGAGACAGCATCCTCAGAAGACAACCTGTGGGACCTGCAGGATGGAAGTATCTGCTGCCTGTAGCTGTCTGTCCTTCCACAGAACTGAAGAGGGTGAGAGAAGCTGTGAATATGGCATAGTGTGACTGCATTTCACTGAATATTTCTAAAATAATTAGATTTTATTTCTGATTTGGAGAAGAATAAAACAAACAAAAAAAAGAAAACCCAACTAATAATTGACTTGCATGGGTAATAGACATAGAATCATATATGAAGAGGTTTGAAATCAGCATATTCCATTTATCACCATGACAGTAATTCTGTAGACAGAGAACTATTGAATTTTCATTTTGTTCCACTATTCTGCTTCCAGTATGGAATTTTCCACTTTGCAGTATTGATTATCTAATGATTAAAACTGAACAAGCTGCAGATGGCGTCTATACTTTGAAAAGCCTGGCCAGTTTAAATTGTTGCAACAAGCCAGCTGTATTTAAAAATTCTGAGATGAATTTTGTTTCTATTTATTTTATGTGCTCCAACTATATAGTGAATTTAATTTCACTAAAAGAATGGTGCTGGTTAAGACTCCCATATAAATGCTATAGACCTTCAGGAATCTTCCCAAAGAATTTAGTTAGGATGGTCATACAGATCAGTTCTGAAACACAGCTCAAGACCAGGGGCCTTGGTTAGCAGCCAATATTCACTAGAAAAGCATTCAGAACACTGAACAGACATTCTGACATTACAATAAATAAAAATGAAAATTCTAATAGATTAAGGGGATTTCATTATTTGACCATCTATATACAATGTTAGAATTCTTTCTAATCAGTAAAATTATCTGTAAATTATTATTTTAAGGGCACTACGATTTAAATGAAAGTGTCAACTAATATTTTTGTATTTTTTCTTTGGCTCACAAATACACTAAAATACCATAAACATTATTTAGAACTTCAATAATATATAAATAGGATACATTACAAATGGAAGAAAATACAAGACAACTCTTCAGCATGGTAAATCTCTGCATATAAATAAGCAAATATTTCATATACCTACAATTCAACAGTTATCTTGCTGTAAAACTATTACATTTAAATCCTTTTACACAAAGTCAATTAACAATAATATACACAATCTACACAAATTAACCTCTAAAAATACAGCAATAATATACCTGTTACAATGACTCTGCTACTATTATCCCCTGATGTGACACTAAAGGGGAAATACAACTATTTTACTCAAAGGTGCTGTTGGAGTTTGCTGTTTTGTATGTAAGAGAAGCACCAACAATAAGATTTAATACTGTTATACGTTTTCTTTAGCTCCTAAGAATCTACATATTAGAAATGTTTCTATATGTCTATTTTTACCTGGCAAAAAATCTGTAGCACATTATCCACGTCATTAGTTGTTGAAGGAAAACTTAATTCTCTTAAAGTGGAAAACATGCTGTGGCTTAGGTCTAAGTTTATAACCACTTTATATATATATATGTATATATATGTATATATATAATTATATATATATTTATACTGTACATATGTACTGTGCAGAGTTCTTAATTTTCTATTTTAGTACTTACTAATTTCCTGCTGACAACAATAAACAAGACCAATGTAAGAGTCAACAGTACTTCAACTTCAAGATAATACATTTTCCCTCAGTAAAATGATCTACCAATACACGTATGTTTTAGTAGCCTATACCTTGTTGTTGCTGTTTAACGATGTCTTAGGAGATTGGAGCTTACAGAAAGGGAATTTCCTTAAAACATGTTCTGCAGGACTGGGTTAAAAAAATAACCAGTACTGGAAAACAGTGAATTAGAGAAATAAATAACTCAACCATTGCACTACAGCTCCTGCCCCAGTCTCTCTATTTCCTCAATGAGGAAGTCTATGTCAGACTTCGTTGCTGCTGGATTTGAGATGACCATTCGGAAGAAGTTGACTTTGTCACCCTGTGGCTGATATCCAACCATGGTAGTACCTGACTCCATCATCAGTGCTTTGATTTTTGGTGCCACCTTTAGAAATTAAAATAAGAGAGAGAGAGTTTCAAATTTTTTTATGTCTTTTCTTTGTATATCACAACCTTTCTTAATTCAGGGAAAACAAAAGAAAAAAAAATTAAATGGGCAAATGAAAAAGGCAATAAAAGAGCAAAAGCTTGAAAAACCACATGCGTGTTTAGGATTGGATAATTAAAGGAAAATCAACAGCAGTAACATCCACCTTTTAAGGAATCTTTTGATTACGAGACAGACACTAGCATCCTAGTGTATTCAGTCTGTAATATTTTTATATATCTAACATACATATCATTTCTATATGCTGATTAATTAATTTCTATTCTTATAGCCCAAACAATGAATATTCAAATGACAGGTACTGGAAATGCACAGTTCTGCTACGGTGTTTGGAAAAAAAAAAGAGGTATGGATGATTTTGTCATAAAGAATTTTATCACACCCCCTCCCCCCCCCCCAAAAAAAAAGAAAAAAAAAAAAAAAAAAAAAAAAAAAAAAAAAAAAAAAAAAAAAAAAAAACTCCGGTACTCCGGAACCAACTTTTTGAGGGTCCTGGATACTTTCCATGAAAATATATTTGTTCTCAGGGCCAATTTGCTAGCAGCGCAATACGGGGGATGGTGGAAATTTTTCTACAAGATCTCTGTCATAAAGAATATTTTCTGCTAGCATAAGCCATGGAAACCTTCCAGTATTCTTGCAATACTGCACATTTACCTCAGTCTGACTTCCTCGCTTTAATTTATAAGGAATACTGTTCCAACCGTCTTAATATTTGGGATTGAGTAGGGCAGTTTTGCTGTTCAGTTCTGTCTCCTGCTCTACTGTCTGCCAGCCAAGGTCCGATTTCTGGTTCTCAACTGTTTTGTAGGATGCTTTATAACGTTCTTTAACATGGTCAAGTCAAACATTTCATCTTTATTCCCAATCTCATCTATCTTCCTTTTTTCTCTCACTTTTGGCAATTTCTTTATCTAACTTATCAGTGGGTTGATCCAGAAATTTTTGTTCTCTCCCATTCGCTTTCTCTGTGTGTTGCAGACAAAACAGTATCTACAAAACCTCCCAATTTGGCCCATTCTTCTTCCTTTCCACACATAAAAAAAAAAGCAATTCATTTTTACAACTATAAAATCATTCTTTTGTCTGCTTAATTTATTTCATTCCACTTCTATCTGTCGAAAATGTTATTACAAAATTAATGTCTTTCACTTCCCTCAAGTCCTACATAACAGAGAAATTCTTCTGGTGCTTGTACTATGCCCTCATTGCCCTTTGTCATTTCTTAAAAAAAAAAATCCCAAAGTCTTTCAGAAGGTATTCATTTTCACTGAAATGGAGTAATTAGTTAAATATTACAAAATCACCCATTACTAATCAAGAACATTTAAAATCAAAATAAAAACTTGAGAAAAGGCTTACAGGTTTTCATGTCCTTTACCTGTCCCTTTCAAATAATTACCCTTTCTTTTCTCTTGCTGATATGGTGTTCAAACAGGATGGGGACCTTTTTTGTGCCTAGCTACTTTTTAAAAACTGTTATACGCTTTTGGGACCACAAAAGTAATAGAACACAATGAATAACTGAGTTTTCTATAGGGAAAATGTGACTTCAGCCCCAACAGGAGACAAAGGTGAATAAATATCAAGGTCATAACAAGCAATTGGAAAACTGATGTCCCAGAATCTGAAACATGTGTCAAGACATGGACGTATTGTTTTGAATTAACACCATACTTTGGGTTGAAATAGCAGAGTATATTTTTGCATTTAACGTAAGTCTCACCCTGTGTAACTTTTCTCGTCTCTCATCGCAGTCTGGCATGCCCCTGAGACTTGGTGGAATATACCAAAAACATACGTTTGTATGCTCTGGCTGCAAAAAGAATAACCAAACACGTACATCGATAAACAAAATAATACAGATCAATCAGACATTCTATGGGCTAGCATATTATAGCATAGACTTGGATGCCAAAAAATAAATAAATACAGTACTGCTTTTTGCATCTACTATCTTAGATTCCCTATCCATCATTCCATTTGCAACATTTTAGGGTGCTAAGTGTCAATGTCTTCTACCTTCATGCAGTTTTAAGAGGAACTGCTTTTTAAATTCCCTACAAGGTCAACACCATTTTCCTTTTCGTAGTAAATGAAGAGATAACAGATATGCTATTCTATGAAGCAGGAGTTTATACAGTACTGGGAGTTTCCACAGAACACAGCAAAAACAGATTTGCAGTTATGTACATGGCAGTACCTGGAATCTCAGAATTAATAGATTTCTTTAAGGTAGTCTTCATGCCCTAAACTCAAAAGACCTCTGGAGAGGAGAGAGAGAGGAGATAAAGCTGACATCTGTGATATAAACCCACAAGTAATTGGCCAAAAAATTTCCCCAGATGTCAATAATCATGTAATTCTTCAGAAAATAAGAGCAGTTCTGTGTAACTGGGTTGAACTATGAGAGGTGTGAAGACTGTTTTCAGAATTCCATATGGATTTAGCTCCTACACATAGGTTAAATGAAAGAAAACTTACCTCTCCTTCAAAAACCATTTCAAATTCTTCTCTGTTTTTGATTTTAGTATAGAGATATTCTGCCAGTTCCAGGCATTTGTTGATCTGATTTTCAAATCCTACTGTACCCTTTATAAAAACAAAGTATTAATTATATAGTAATATTTCATCCCCTGATGTAATCAACTTTGCAGACAGGCTTCAATCTTAAATGGCTTCGGACAAATAATTTAGCAGAATTATCTGTTGTAATTTAAAAGTAAAGTTGATCAATCACTACAGAAGCAGCTAAATATGTCATAATTGTAATCACTATTTCCTTTTGTTCTATTTTTAAGAAAATTTATGATGATAAAAACAAAGACTTCTGATATTTTTAGTAGAGTATTTTTTTCAGTTTTCAAATATAAAAATACTGTGTCTTGGCATCCCAGTTCTTCTTGAAGACCATGAACATGGAACAGAAACACAACTGAAAGGGTAAGATCTGGGAAGTAATTTATTTATCTAAACAGTTTGCTATAACTTTTCATTTTAAAAAGTCAGAAAACAAAAGCCTGTTTGCTTAAAGTCACTGTCTACCTACCGGTCTTCTGTAGTATTGGATTTTTTGAAAGATCATAATCCCAGAAAAAGTAAATGAGCATTGATAACAAATAAAATATAAAAAAAAAAAAATCATTTTTTTTTTCTTATAAGTATACTCCTTTATATGAATGAATAAGTAAAAGAAAATCAAAATTATCTTTATTATACTGCAGGACTATTTCTGAACTACACTGATCAAGTGACTTAAAACTTTCCTGTTATTTCCATCCAAACTTATTGATGGCTAATGTCCTACAAGTTGAATGGTTCTTTTTTTTACTTAATTCTCAGATATACCTATATGTTTAGAAATTGTGATTATGGAAGTGTTAAAAAAGCTTTCCATTACATGAATCTTATAAATTAAATAAATAATTTATGATATTTGAACTCTGATTTTATTATTTACCTTTGCTTTCCACATCAACCAGAATTTGAAAATGTCCACATGTCTACCACACTGTATTGCCTTATCTCCAGTGTCATAGGATACATCGTACTGTTTGTCTTGCTGGAAGAGATATCCTGCACACATTTGATTGCAGCCTTGAAGTATACCCTGTAATGAAAAGCATGGACATATATGAAACATGTCATAAGTGTGAATCTGTATGCATTAATAATACATAGACTGTATATCAAATACGTACAGAAGAATTGTTCTTTAAACAACCAAATAATGAAATACTGACCTTCTTTTATGAACGTGAGCCACAGATGCAATTTTATAACCTAGGGTGGTTCCCTTAGCAGTTCCTGAGAAGTCATATGGTTTTACACACCCAGACATCCACAACTGAAAAAATGTCCTCAGCTGTGTTTCGATTCTTAATTTCCAATACTAATTTGGTACACTTCACATTGTAAAGCTGTGTTTTTAAGACTTAAACATTTGATGTATTAACTTAATACACTAGAATAAAGTTGTGGTTTCTCAGTGCTGCATATAGCTACAGAAAATTTAGGAAAAAAAATCAATGGCTCCAACTTCATATATTTTCCAGCTTAATGATACTTAGCATTAGTGATAACTATAAACACAGATGATCTAAACTGGATATGTTTTTGCCTAGAAATGTTTTAAAATAAGCAAACAATGGGAAGGAGTGCATTGCAGCCTTTAAAATGATGGTCTACAGACCAATGGAGATCTACGGGCTACAAGTAAGGATCTCTGAAGGAAACACAAAGGAGAAAATTCCTGTATGTTACACAGAGTTTATATATGCAACATTTCTAAAGTGGTCTGCATCTTCTTTAAAATATATTAGTGGTCCTTTTAAAAATGTCAAAGACCACAGCTGTAGCTGATGAACACAAATACACCCATCAAAATTCCCCCACAGAGAATGATTTTGCCAAAATCCTGCAACAGTTTGCATGATAAGCATGCATGCCACTAAATAATGGCTAGTGCTTCCCTCCAATAGATCTCAAAGTGCTTTATAAAGGCGAGTGTAACACTTCATGGGAAACGTTCAGTTTAGAGATGGGTCAACTGGAAAACAAATGGCTGATCTAGAACTGAACTCTACAACATCTACATCTCTGCTCTACAGACTGCTACCACTTCCTCAACAAACATCTTCTCGTAGCAAATGACATGTTAGAAAATAGGGAAAAAAAAAATAGTAGTCCTATCCACAGATGGCATGACTTTTTTTTTTTTATTATTACCTAAAGAAAATACTTAGAACTTAAAAGAAGTAAGACACCAGTCTTGCATTGATGGCAACAGAGAATCTTGAAGGAAGCCCTAAAAATACATAGTATGTATTTACACATACAAATTATGTGTTTTTAAAAATTAATAAAGCAGTGTGGCTTGCTTTTAACATAATCGAGAAAATTTTAAATTACCACAGAAGGTAAAATACTTGCTTTTCAAGTAAGCAGTTTAGACAGTGACCAATTACTAACACCAAGGCTGTATGTTCAGTATATCATGGGAACAAAGGGACAGATTCTCAGATGAAATAGACTGGCATGGCTGTAGTGTTGTTCTTAAAATATGCAAAGATCCAGCAGCTGAGTATCTGACCCATATTGTCAACAGCTTTGACAAAAAGAAAAATGAACAAACAAAAATTTCCTAAACACAATATAAATCCACATGATTATTTCTTCCAAAAGAAGTTTTGAAATGAAATGGATTTTGACCTATTCTTTTGAAAATTAGGGTTCGATAGTTACATTTTTTTTTTAACTGCATAATCACTAAATATAAAACAGACCTTCTCCCGGACCAGAATGGCGGAACATTGCAACAATACTCCCATCATCTTGTGTGGATTCCAAGTGACTGAATTGGCTCTACAAACAAAACAAACAAACAAACAAAAGAAATACATTCAGCTAGGTATGGAAAACAAAAATTCAACCTGGAGTAGTCACTTTAGTTTTCTGCTTGTAGCTGGAAATGCATGGAGATTTTGACCAGCTTATTTCACTATGGAGATCATTACTATCTCAGATGTCTCCTTTCCCAGCTGTATCATCCAGGAAAGGAATTTTATGTGCATTAACTCTTTAATATCAGACTTCTGCTTAGTTTCTATTAGTATTAATACCAGATAATTAATGTCAGACTATGCTGATTAGCTGAAATACTAACTTCATCCCCAGATGTGTCCAATTCTAGAAATAGCACTAACAAACCTACCAGAAACAGTATGACAGGTTATTATTGATTCAAGGTACTAACAAGCGGATGGGGCAAAGAATTAAGAAAAATAATATGAAGCACTGAAAAAAAATCAGTTCTTTGCCAAACAGCTGCTAGAAAGGTATAAAGCAAAGCAAAATACACTTCTAATGCTTATCTGCTGCTCCAGGTAGAGCCATAAGCGGCCTTTTCTATACTACCTTGTCAAGTCTATGGACTGTTAAAAGGCTATAAAACTTTACAATCCTATCATTCTGCACGTAAAGGTTAAAACTCCTTATGTGTAAGCACAAGTGGATGCATAAGATCACCTAATTTACTTGTCAAACAGATAAGATTTTCTGTATTTTAATATATCATCCTAGACAGTTTAATGATGATGCTAAAATAAATGTACCACCATTGTATGTCCACTGACCTCTTCACCCCAAGTTATTAATTACCAAACGTCCTCTTGATTCACTGCATGTTCCAGTAGAAGAAACCATATAATGACATTTCACAGACTATACAGATGTTAACACAATCTGGTTTAAAGAAAGTTCAAAGAGATTTCCTCGTTCCACCCCTGTCTCTCAGAAGACACAGACACAACCACGGTTCCTCTGTTCCACAGTTCCTCTTCAACGCAACTTCTTCACCCAAGTCTGAGGGTGACTGATTCCACAAATACCCCAGATACAATTCCAATTTTCATCTGTGCTTGGTTAGATAGTAGCACATATTGGCCAAAACAACAGGGCAGCCTGGGCTGCACCTGGGCAGCTCACCCTCTCTCTAAGTCTAAGGCAGTGCAGCCAGCAGGTTAAGTAGCTCAGCTGGTGTCACTTTAGAGATTGGACTCTGGGAGTCAAGTATCTTTTTAAAAACTTCAATAATAGTTCAGATGGAGTAGTCAAGAAACAGGAACTTTATATAACAGCTTGTTTCTTTCTGAGAGTGCTATGGTTTCAGTTTTGTACATTCATTTAATTTTCAGGGTTCCAAACAAAGGCAATTTCAAGTAGCATTCCAAAGAAGCATTTGGTTTATTTTAACATGAAAACATCATTCTCTATTCTGCACAGTCAGACAGCCAGAGGCTATCCTCCTGCAAGCAATCCAAGCTATGTACCCATGGCAGCATGCCAGTCCTCCTACGTCAATGTCTCTGGGCAGTCCAAGTCTGCCTGAGTGTGAGCAACAGACCTCAGCTGGGGCCTGTGACAGTCGATTACATGGTACATGTGAGCCCCATCACACGTTTGAAGATAGTACAAGCTGTTAGAAAAGATATAATATCATGCTTCGTGGCCTGCTGTTTTCAATATTTGCTAATTAACTAAGCTTACCACCCGAGTTAGCACCTTTGGGTTTACCTCACTTCAGAAGAGGTGTGCCAAACTACTTTGACTAAATCAGTGTAGCTTAAGGAAATTGTTTTATAATACTAACTTCATATTAGACATGTTGCCATAGCATGAGTGAGTGGCAAACTGGACTGGGCAGAGGCTTATACTGTTCTGCTGTTTTGGAGTTCTCTTACAACATCCTTCTTTGTGCCACAAGGGTCCATGTGCTTTTCCTACCAGTCCTTCCATATATTGTTTTTTATCCTGTACTTGTTCTTACTTACAGTATGAAATGACCACCACTGGGAAAGTCTATCTAATGAAGAACTCTGTTCACTGCTCTTATTTTATACCTTTATACAGTGCCCACATGCAGCACAGCTGGCTCAAGGAAGGAATTTTGTGCTAATTTGGCAGTACATGGGTAGAGTTTGTTTCGAATCCTTTTTTGATTCCCTTGAAGTTGATACCTGCAGTGATGGGGAAGACCTTATGTTTCTGGTTCTTCATTACTGTTCTGATTTTTATTCAGATGGGCAGCCTTTTATGATAAAGTAGTTTCAGGGAAAGTCTAGAGATAAACACACCCATGGTACTACAAATATGGCATCTTCTACAAACTACAGCCTTGTCAACACTGGATGTGGAAACATCTATGCCAAAGCCTATACATGGAACTCCTAGGTCTAAATCTTTTCATGAATTTGTGAAGTCATTCACAAATGACATTTGTCATTTACCTTACAAAATTACTTAAATAACAGGATTACTAATATGGAGCGTGTAGTACCTTTCTATTCCATTCAATTTATGACGATGCTTTCGGGACATTAAGAGTCCACCTCCCCAAGCAGCCTGGAAGAGATAGGAATAAAAAGAGAAGACTTGTTGTTTTGAAAAGCCTAACATATTTTAATTTACTCAGGTTCTAATAATAAATATTTTAGATCAAGACAAAAAGTGTAAACTAAAATCCTATATTGCCTTAATAACGTCATGTGAGTAAGCTACTTACATCTACATGGAGCCAGAGGTTGTATTTTTCACATATATCTGCAATCTCCTGTATTGGATCAAAGGCTCCATATACTGTTGTGCCTGCGGTTGCATTTACAAAGAGAGGAATGTATCCCTACAATAAAAATAACCGCATTAAATATAAAATCCAGCCTCTTTCAGATAAACAAAAACAAACAAACAAAAACCATGAAAACCATTTTAGAAATGTTGCTACCCCATTTTCCTGTCTGAAAATGTTTTTCTTCCCAAGTGAAAAGTACACACAAGTACCTACAGAAACTGAAAAACTGACTGCAAAGTAGGAATGAACTGTCTGTTTTTATTGCACTGTAAGTCCACAAAATTAACTAGTTAGAAGGTAGAGAATATTATTTTCTCTAATTCTTTCTGGTGAGGAGATTTAAAAGTTCTAGTAGCACACTAGCAATAGTCAACTAAAGCTTAGACTTTTATAGAAATATAAAGGAAAATTAATTAAATGTGTTAAATTGTGATTTGAAAGCTTGAAGTTATTCCTTTAATCTTTATCTACTGACAAACAGAATAGAGCAAAACAAAGCCATCCGAAACAAAAGTATTAAATGTAGAACCATAAGATCAAAATGAGACAATTTTGAGTTAGGTTAAATAAATGTGAACTGCAATTCCAAGTATAAAGAAGATAAGAAATCAAGAAAAATCTTGATACCCCTAACTTTGGTGGTTTTATATAAAATTAATTGATTTTTCATTGGGCTGATTTAAGAAATAATAATAAATGCTTCAAAAAATTAAACTTGCTAGGTATAGTCACTAACCCTGCAGCTTCACACATGGAATCTAAAGGAATTTTTAGGACTAACATCCAACAGAATTTTTGATGTTTTTAACTAAACTTTAAGGTTTGGATAAAAGTGGTTTTAGTTTCGTGTTTTAGTATTTTTCCATACTATTTCCAAACAGAAAATTATTTTAAAAATTCATAAAATACAGATGTGGGTCAAAAGTGTGTGAGATAGAGAGAAAGAGAGAGAGAGAGAGAGAGACTTTTAATAGTAAATGGAAACCATGGCAAGATAATTCCCTAAGCAATATAGAAGTGTATAATTAATCAGCTGAAAAAAATGTTATTATAACATTTATATTACTATAATATGTTTGTTTAATGTTAACCCTCAGCCTTCAAAGGAAGAGGTAATATATTTTACTAAGCTAAATATTTAAGCACTAATTTTTTTAAAACGCAAACCTTTTGTTTCGCTTCCAAAATTTTTGCTTCCAAATCAGCTGGTATTATTTTGCCTCTGTAATTATTGTAGAAACAGAAAGACAAAGAAAATTAAAGAGTGCATAGAGAAATACTAGCTACAGTTGAAATAATTTAATAGGATTTTCTCAACAGGCCATTAGCAACTTGACACACTGTATTGAACCAGTCCTTAAGTACAATAAAAGAAATTTAACAGATGAACACATTTAATATATCAAAACATTAGCATCTATCCTACCTTTCATTGCATTTTATCAAAATCACGTTGTCTGTTCCAAATCCAAGTGCAGCTCCAGCTTTCTTTATTGAGTAATGACTCTGAAGGAAACCATGCACATTTAATGGAGTAGTCATTTAATAATGAAATGTCTTCACAATATACATTAATTAGTTAACAGAGTATTGAGCTCACATGTTCTGAGGTAAAGAGAACCAGTTTAGGGACTGCAGCCATGCCTTTGGTTTTGACTTCAGGGAAATATTTGTAGCGTGCGGCCATTATGCTGTACATGTTGGAAATAGCTCCTCCTGTGAATGAACAAATAAATGAATGAAGACTCAGAGTGATGATGAGAAAAAAATTATCTTATTAGACCAAACACATACAAGACTCACTTGGATTATCGGTGAAAGTGGCAGTGAACTATGAAAAACCAAATCTCTGAAATATGTGGTCATGTGTCTAAACAGCATAGGGACAGACGCTCTATAAAGCCATACTGATAATCTATCATCTCTTTCAATTGCTAATGTTTTGAAACACATTCCTAAAAAGGTCAGTTTTCATTTCATTGCTTTTGCATGACAGCTTCTTGTTAGCATGAAAAACAGGAAGTTACTGAATTCTCTGGGTCTGAAGAAAATTCACATACTGGATAGATTTATCCTGTCTCACTGAAGATGTAGAACTAGATGGCTAAGAGGTAGCTTTCTACAGCTCAAGTAGTTATCCTAAGTTTCCTTTATAGTCAGCTAAAAGAATATTTCGATACTTACTTTTGAAGAATGAGAATTGAGAGAAAATATCTATTTCCCTTTCTTTTCTTCTAAAAGGAGCTCAGGACAACTAGCTCAGTTGAACAATGCAGACAAGATTTAGTAATAAGAATTAGAACTACAACACTGGGCAAAATCTGTATTTTTCTTGCAGGTGGGACTAGAGACCAAGCAAGAGTGCGTTTCTGGATTTTAGGTAGGCTATTCCAAAAGGAGCTGGAATTTGCCCTTCATCCTGTGAAACAGGATGGTTTCTCTTGAACAACAAACGCAGAAATCTGGAGTTCTGCTGGGTGCCCCAGCTTCCACATGGTTTCCCAGTCTTTTCTAACACTGCTAACAGCTTTTATACTGCTTTCATGGGAAGACGCTTCGACTTGGTCTTCAGAATGATACGTCTGAGAATCCAGTTGGATTTCTGGGAAAATTATGGCCCAGAAAGTGACAAACAGTCCCTTTTCTTAAGGCTCTCAAGAACAATTGGTCAGGAGAAGTTGTGGTTCTGCAGGTCATTACCTCCGGAAATGACACATGAGAAAAGGTGTCTAAATGCCTAATTACGTGCCAGAGCTCATAATCAAGCTTTAAAAATGTCAGCCATCATAGACAGACACGCCCAAAGATACATTTTTTTTTTCAACTACTTTTTGTGGGATGTTTGAACAAAGCATGTATTTCAGGTGAGAAATTCATACTTCTAAAACTCTGACATCGTTTTGTCTTGAAGACATTTCAAGCAAAACATGGACATTCAGACACAGCCTCTGTTTATTTGAATATTTTAAGTTCAAATAAACGAGAAAAACCCACCAGGTGAGAATATTCCATCGCCATCTTTATTCGACCATCCAATAATCTCTCTCATCTTTCGAAGTGTTATTTGTTCCATGAGGACAAAAACAGGGGCAATTTCATATGTAAACCTACATGGATAAAGCAAACAAAATAAAAAAATAAATAAATATAGATTTCAAAACACACAATCAATTCTCAGTCTAAATTGAAAACTAGAAATGTGAAAATGCTCAATTCAAAAAAAAAACAGGAATCTGCAGCATCTGATATAGCAAACTTTACACAAGCGAAAATCCTCAGGAAGACAAAATGTGAAATATTGGTCAATAAAGACCTGCAGTATCAATAACTTTTCTATTATAACCAACATGAGACCTAATGTTTATCATCAGTGTGCTAGGGACTGCTGTGCTGTCACACATTTGTCTCCCAAAGTGCCAATTCCTTATGAAAACTGTGAACTTACTGAGCTAACCACAGCCATAATTAGAAGTATTGAGCTAGGCCTTCAAAGTCTAAATACAATTAATTATGTGGATTTATTCCGTTGATGATCTCCAAGGACAACTTATTTCTACAATACCATGTGATCAATAACTGTCAAGAGTAATTATAAATGATGATTTTCTAATTAACAATTACAAAAAAACAAGACAGCAGTCAACTGTTGTACCCATTTAATGAGGGCAAAACACATTGCATAGTCTGGTATGCCATGATGTCACAGACAGCTCTGTGGATGGGAAGTGACAGCCATACAACCATTTTTTGGATAAATTGCTACTGCTATAAATAAACTGCTTGCTGTATACACCAAAAAAAAAAAAAGGGGGGGGGGGGCAGAGGTGAGGGGGGTAGGTGAAGGCAGAAACAGAAAGGAACTAAACAATTAATCTGTGATTTTTAACAGAATCTTCAAGAATATGACACCCTGACACTGGATCTGACTGATCATTTATGCCTTCCACTTGTACAATTTTACGAATGTATACGTTGTTTCTTTAATACTAAAATGACACTTTGATAATAGGTATGGCAAACCTTGAGGAGACAAGCTATGCCTGAAAACTTGTCTTTTACTTATATCTACACTGCTTAGTTTAAAATATTAACTTTCATATATTTTTTCTTATTATTATCATTGCTATTTTGAGAAGCAAAAATACTACTTATTTTGCTTTGATCATCATCAGAACTGTCAGAAATAGCTGAACATGGATCTGAATTTTGGGTGCTGCCAATAATTAGAGAAACACAAAATTAACAAACTAGCTGGTGTCTGCAATCTCCTCAGTAGCAAAAACATGACAGCTCATTTTGATTTGTGCTTTTTTTACATATTGCAAGTCTAAGACATATTCCAACCTTTATTTAGGCTGAAAGTCCAACAGAAGCCAAAATGAACTCAGCAGTGTACAAAACAGTGTAGCCTAAGAGAGGACATACTTAAGTCAATGTGATTTTTTTTTCCAGAAGTTTAAATGCATTTTTATTTTGAGGTCTTGCTCACTGATCCCTACATACTTCCATACTTCCTGGAAGACTTAATGGCTTGTATAGAAAGTATACAATATTAAGCTTTTTTTTTTTTTATTCAAAATACTAAATGATCACATGGGAATTTTAAATTATACTGAAAAGCAAGTAAAATAGAATTTATTTATTTTATTATGTAATTATTTTCTGAGTCTCCAAAAAGAGACTCAGAAAAAGTCTCTCACAAAAAAGTTTACAAAGAAGTCAAAAAACCAACTGTGGATGATTATAAATGACAAGACCACAGTAGTTATATTAGAAGATGGCTAAGATTCTGAAAATAATAACTTGCTCAAGGTCAGTCCAACTTGTTTTAAATTTCAAGGATTTTGAAAATTTTGCTAAAATGCAGAAAATGTGTTTGGCCCATAAGGAACTGTCCTACTTTAGAACCATTCTCCCGACAAAAAATCCTGACTAGATTTTTTTCCATACAGTTACGACCTGTACAGGTATTTCTATGAATTAACTAAAATGGTCATGAATCTCAGGTTTTCTCTAAAAGAATAAAATAATGGTTTTATCTTGGTAGTGGGTAGCACTGGCTTAATTCTGCCCTCACGTAAAGGCAGAAGCATTTTTATTAGGACAAACCATTCTTTCCCTGTTCTCATTTGCCAATATTAAAAAAAAAAAAAAGCATTCTGAGATCAAATATAAAGCATTTTAGATTATATATGTTAATTTTTCATAATTATGCATATGCATATTTATGTACAAATGCATAAACCCAATACTATCAACACAGTTCTCTCATCTCGGCTAACAGCGGGCATAAAATGAACTTTCAGACAGCATCATTGCTCTCTAACCTCAGCTGGCTGCCGTGTGGTGAGTGAGCTCCCCATACTACCGATCCCTAGAGCTGAGTGAGTAATAGCAGCTCCTGAAAATTCCACCCAGAAAGCCTTAAGCTCAGTGATGGAGCTATGAATAGCATGTTGATACATTATTTCCAAGTCAACATGGGAAGTTTATTATGTTTAATTTAATATAGCATCTCCACAGTGACATTTAAGGAACACTTCCTAATGACAATATAATTTTTTTTAGAAAATACAGAAAATACATTTTTCTCAAAATCCATTTGAGAAAGGAAATAAGTATTCTTCTAACTGTACACTAAGCATATATTTTAAGTAGTGTTTATAGGGGAAAAAGAAACATGGGAAATCGAAGACATACCCTACCACAATCCAGTGCTACTGTCATGTTACATGGTTGCGTAACTTAAATAGGTTAGAACAGTTTCCAGATAAAGGTCAGAACCTGCTCTTCCATGCCAGAACACCGCTCAGAACAAGTGATATGTTCCCCAGAGCTCGAAGAGTCAGTATGGCTATTGTTAATAACTTTGTCAGTTCTTTAAATTGTATTTTACAAACATCTTGCTTCAACTATACTTGCAATTACTGTGTTACTTTTAAAGCAAATCATGTTGACCTTGGTTTGCTGAAAGAAGAGCAACATACCATTTTGCATTTGATAAACATCAAACAGATTCAATTTTAACACTTGCAGAAAAGCGTTTTCAAGGTAGCTTCACGTTTAAAGTACAAATGGATCAGAAACTAGCTTTACAGAACTAGCTATTTAAAAATATAACTTTAAAACCAAAATAAGAAAGACAAAAGCAACTTCACAAAAGAGTTACTCTTACAGAACTAAGTGTGATGTTTTTAATAATGATGGTAACATTTCAGAAGATTATCAAAGTCTACCACATAGCTGAATTCTGATTTGCCGTATTATTCTTGTGCAATTTCATTGATTACAAAAGGATAGCTAAGCTAACTAAGTCAGTCAAAGGAAATGAAGCCTGCAAAAAAGTGACACTCTTTAAAGTATGTTTTTGTCACAGAGGAACAAAATTTAATCAATATTTTATTTTATAAATGTAATCAGAATTGTTTTAGCTTTTATTTATGGTCCTAGGAAGGAAAAAAAAGTACCCTGCACTACCAGTTTTACAATTAAAATATATGTTGCTACTGTTTGTTTGTTGTGGTTTGTTTGTCTGTCTGTTTGTTTTTTTCTTCTAGTCAGCTTTTAGATCTGAATCTCTTACAGCAATTTTTAGCAAACAAAACTAATTGGAAAGATGATAATTGTAAAGAGCGGGTTGGTTTTGGCTGGAGCACCTTATGCAATTTTCTTTACTGCTAATGTCACAAAACAGGCACAGCTCCTAATCTACACAGAGCTGCTAGTGATCAGCTATACTTAATGAGCCATTTATTCATGGATGGACCAGGGAAAACTGTTCATTTTCAGATCTGCAGATACATTTCCTGTGTTCTGCCAATTAGCAACAAACTAGCCAGACTAGAGGTAGCTTTACAGTTAAAACACATCCAATACAGGGCTAAAACAGAAGGCATCAGTTACCTGCCAAATATTTAGAGACCCGGCACATTTTGGAACATATGCAAATCAATACACAAATAAAAAGCATGAAAAAGTTTTCTTCACAAATGACACTTAGTTGCAAAAAAATCAGCCTAACACCTTTCACTTACTTTTCTGAAGCATGCATTACTTATGATGTAAAAAAAAAAAGGAAGTTTTCTCGTTCTAGAAGTAATTTTTTACTTTTTCTGACTTTATTTTTTTATAAACTACTTTAACAAACCTTAGAGTGGGTAATTCCTTCATTACCATTAAACTGATTTCCAGTATTACACTTTTAACTCTTTTGAAGCCACCCAGAAGTAACTTCTTTACCAGCATGTGCACAGGAAAAGGTGGTGTTCCATGCCTTATCTCTGATGCCAAGAAGGAAAAAACGCAGTAGTTTTGCTGATGTTGTATTCTACTGTTACTAAATGCAGAATTACTCAGTCTATAGACAAATCTTTTTAAAAAAATGTATGGAAAAGATAAAGACTAGTCCAAGAGAAGATAAATCCTTTCTATTAGAATCTGAATATTAATAGCATATTAGAATCAGCATATTTTATTCACCACGTGCTTGGATATTTGCATTGTATTTATCAGAAATATTAAACTGTTCAGCTTCACGTAACTATTTGTTCTGTATTACTGTCACGGGTGACACTTTTACTGAAGATACAGCAATCAGCATTTAAAGCTGATAACTGCAAATCTATCACGATGCATGTCTATCGTGACAGATGACAACCCCCGTAACCACCGCACGAGGCACAGAAGCTGGCAAGACACCGCTTACATGTTTGTGTTCGCAGTCGATGTCAGCCACTCCCCAGCCAAGCCAATGATGTCCAGCCCTGTGGAGAGCTGATTGAAAAAGCGCGGATGACCTGAAAGACAATTGAGAGTGGCTCAGCACGACCCCACGGCTGTCCCCAAAGCTCCCCTTCCAACCCAGCAGCGCCCCTCGGCTCGGGGGGCGAGGAGGCCCAGACTTCGCCCACGGCCTCGCTGCGGCTGGGGCCCTGCCGGCCCGTCAGCTCGGCCGCCATGTCGCCGCCCTCACGGAGCGGGCCGGGCTGCGGCCCCGCTGCCGGCAGGGCGAGCTTCGCCCGGCTGGCCTCAGCAGGCAAATGCGCGTCCCTTCTCCACGGACACGGAGTCCAAACGCCGCCAGGCGCCGTCGATTATATCGGCCCCCCCGCACACCCCGCAACGAGCTCCCTCTGGCAGCCCTCCCGCCATGGCGGCCCCACACGGCGGTGAGGGGCTGCTGCCGCCGAAGCCCCTCACTGAGCCCGACATGAAGCGGCCCCGGCCCTGAGGAACGGGCTGCAGCTCCGCGATAAGGGACGCGGCTGTAGGCGGCCATCGGCGGCTGGTTGGGAAGGGCCTGGAGAGGCGGGGCCCCGGGGTAATGGGCTGAAATCCACAGGGTTCCTTTATTGATGATTCCTAGGATTTCAGTCTCTTTTTCATTAAACGTCTGGCGAACATAAAGAAGAAAAACTGCAAATTCGGCGTCATTTATGCCCTCATTTACCTAATGATATTGCTCCCCGGAGATACAGACAGCTCACATTTCATCAAGTGAAAAAGATTACGTCTTAAAAACTTGTTTCTGGGCTCTGCAAACAGCACCGAGCCCTGCCGCCGGGGCCGGGCGGCGCACGGCTGGAGCCGAGCCCCCGGGGCCCGCTCTCCTCACCCAGAGGCTCCCCGGAGCCGTGCGAGAACCTACCTGTCCTCACCCCGTACTTGAGCGTGTCCCTGCAGTCCACCAGGATCTGCTCCAGGGACTCGGGGTTGTCCGAGAGCTCCAGGTTGAAGCCCTCCATGCCCTCCAGGAGCTGGTGCGGGTGGTGGAAGTCCAGCACTTTGGTGGACCTGTCAAACGTCTTCCTCACGTAGTTGAGGAGGATGTCCACGACCTCCAGCAGGAACTGCATGGTCTGCTCCTCGCCGTTCTTGGCGGGCAGCAAATCTGCGGGGCAAACCAGCCGTCAGCGCCTGCTTTGGGAGCGACAGGCGGAGGTGAAGCAGCCCTCCCGGCACCTGGACTCAGCCTGGCCAGGGAGGGACGGGGCACGGCGAAACCGGCCGCTGCCCCGGAGCCCCTCGCCCGGTGGGGAAGGGCGAACCCGGTCACCTGCGGGAACGGCGGGGCCCTCAGCCCCGGGAGCCAAAAGCCCCGCAGCTGCCCTTCACCTGGCCCGCTTCCTCGCCCGAAAAAAAATAAAAATAATAAAAAAATAATAAAAAAAAGAAAGAAAATAAAAGATTGATTTCTCTTCCCCACCCTCCCCGTAGCTAGCAATCACAGACCGTTTCATTGCTGATCTATTGAGGAGGAAATAAAATACGAAATTGCTCTCCTCCTGGGAGCTGGCTCTGGAGTGACCCCGGAGGAACAGCTGGAGCTGAGCTGCGGATCAGCCCAAGGAACATAAACGTGCATTTCAGGAAACTTTTAAACATCGCCAGTGCGGCCCTCAGCAAACACGCTCACAGCTCCCCTCAAAAGCAGCCAAGCAAAAGCACGGTCTGAAGGCGGCTGCACTTGCAGGGGAGGCGAGGGCAGACTGCTAGGGGACGTGACCGGGCTGGAGCACGCAGAAGCTGCAAAGAGCGTTTACCTCTGGCATACAAATTGGAGAAGTCTGTCTCGGTGCGCCGGAACCTGGACTCCTTCTCGCTGTTCTCACACGCCAGCAGGCTCTTGGAGGACCGCCTTTCCTTCAGGGAGCTCACGATCCGGCCCTTGTCTTCCAGACTGTTGGTCCTTTGCAGGAACCCTACATTGTTATTGCAAGGTGCACAGGTCAGAGTTTTCTCACTTCCCAACATGTTTAGAAATATCTAAAGCAGCTCTCTAGACACCAGTTCGAAGCTGTGTTCGCTCTGGATCTGACTAATGAGGTCAGGAATAAGAGTATTTATGGGGTTTATTTGCCTCCAGGAGGGAGAGCTCAAAACGCCATCAACTGCAAAAACCCAGCCATGCAAAAAACAAATTTTTGTCATTTAGTGCAGTGGTACATTCTTATTAAGTCGATCAGACAGATTCCACTTCAGTAGCCAGCCACTGGAAGAGAGTTCAGGATGAGTCAATGCTATTTCAGCCTGCAGGCGAAGTTTATGGACCCAGCAGACAGGGGCAATGATGTATGATTAAAATCAGGGCCACTTTTGCTTCTCCTCGCGGTGCTCTCACGCACAAAAGACACGAGAGCGAGCAGCCGTCCTGGAGCATTCCCCGCCAGGGCTTAGGGACACGGGTAGCACTCACCAAGCCCCCTCCCCGGTGCCAGTGGGAATGATGTCCGCACCGGCACGTGTCCACACCATGAGGATTTTCCGCCCGAGAAAGCGCTTCAACACCGACCCCAATCCTCCCCGGGGTCCCTGCTCTCTCCGGACACGCAGCTCGGGCGCCCGGGGCCGCCGCCACCGGCCGGCGTGACAGCGGGGACGGAGCCACCGGCCCGGGAGCCACGGAGGGCCAGCCGGCTGCAACCGGGCGGAGCTGTGCCACCGGCTTCTCGGGATCTGTCCCGCGAAATCCATGCCCGCTAAAACGGACACTGTGCCGGCCTCTCCCTCAGCAGCGAAGGCAGCGGCTTTGGGACCTCCCCGGCTGTGCCGAGCGCGCCCAGGTTGGGGGCAGGCGGTGACACCGCACCGCTCGGAGGGGCACCGCGCTCCCCGGAGGTTTGCTCGATCTGTTTCGCTTCGAACGAGTAGTGCCTGAAACCAGGTCTCTTCGCGGCTGGGGACGCCCGCTAGAGAGGAAGACGCTGGAGCGAGGCCAGCCAGGGCTGGCACTTCGTCCTTCCGCGTCCCCCGACGCCGCTCCTCGCCGGCCGCATGCCCCGGGCTCCTCGCAGCCCCGATGGCTCCCCCGGCCCGGCCGGGCCCCCGCAGCGCGGTGCGGGGACAAAGGAGCGCCCCCAGCCGCTGGGCCGGCCCGACAGGCTCGGGGCAGCCCCCGAGAAGGGAGCCCCAGAGCGCAGCCCCCTCTCGTGGCTGTGCCCGGCGCACTTTTGTCGTTTTGTCTCTTCATATTCATGCTTCGCTCATCAGCTTCCTTCTACGATGCTTTGAGGGACGTGAGCTATGTGAGACAAGCTACTTCAGAGAATCTCTCTTCTTGCAGAAATTAGGAGTCCGCGACCGAGGAGCTTTATTCGTGTGCAGTTTTGTTACTGCTTTCAACCGCCCCTGCAGCGGACCGCGGGCTCCTGCACCTGCAAGTGGTGTTCGCCTGCTCAACGGGCGGCGCAGCTGACACCGAATTAGGTGCGATCTGGACTGGACTGAATTGCGGAGCGACCGCCTGCACCCCAGGTCCCGCGGCTTCGTTGTGCTTAGTTTGGCCACTCTTCTTTCCGCAGGGCTCCAGGCGGCGACGCTCGGCGGCAGAGCAGCGACGGGAGCGAGGTGCTCGGCAGGCCCCGCAGAGGTCGGGGCGGGCGGCAGGGGCAGCTCCGCAGGGGCCGCTCGGAGGGCGGAGGTGCCGAAAGAGGTGCCATCCGTACCCAGCGCGAAAAGAAACGAACAAACCAAAAAAGAGACCGCTGTAGAAGAGACCCAGCAGGCAGCGGCGCACGCCGTACGGCAGGGTTGCCTCTCCCGCAGCAAGGGAGAGCGCGGCGCTCCCCAGCTGCATGCCGCAGGTGCCCCGCTGGGAGGTATTTGCATGGACGAGCATCAAGAGGGATCGAGTTTTTGAAGGCAGGGACCGACCTGGCGAAGGAGCCCCTCGATCCCCGTAGTGCCTACAATTCCTGCGTGGTTTCACAGAGAGGCTGGGCAGGAGGCAGCGTGCGAGGGGCTCGGCGGCGATCCCACGGGCTGTGGCTACGGGCTGAGCCTCCACCACGCGGGGCTGCTGCTGAAAGCCCACCTGCCTGCGGGGGAGCCGCGGCGGGCTGCCGAGAACTCAGCCGTTCGCCTTATCCGGAGCAGTTCTGCCACGTCGAGTGCCTCCACCGACGGCAGCAGGCGGTAGCGGAATCAGTGCCAGCGGCGGTGTTAGTGGCCGGGGTGGGAGAGAGAGGTGCAGCCGGCATCTCCGGGCACGGGGGGCAATCTTCCCGTGCTTTGCACGCTGAGACCTCTTCACTCCGCCGAGACCTCTTCAAAACGTGTTATCTTTTCGAAGCTGATGCGTGCGGTGACGGGGCTGGGGGTGTGGCAGCCGCAGGGCTCTTTTCAGGCGGTGGCTTTCAAACAGAAAGGAACGGAGTTCGTCCTTAAATCGGTCAGTGGTTTGAAAAGAAATGACACATAAATCTCGGGTGCGTAATTACTGAAAATGTCAAATACAATATAGGAAACGGGTGGAAGGACAGACCCATTGTTCAAGACCTGCGCTCTCTTTGAGCTGAACCCTTATTTCAAGTTCGCGTTGAAAATGAATCGATTTCGGTGTGATACACAGAAAGAACAAATCTTAGTTTTCTACAGCTTTGTAGCGGCACAATGCTTAGGGTCCAGAATAATGTCTTGTGAAAGGTAAGGACAAGGCGATAATCAGCTCTAATAGTCGAACGTTAGCTGGTTTAGCACGCGTAATTAGGATATTTGGCATCCTCAGTGCTTCACTCCGTATATTTACCAAAGGCAGCCTTCCCTTTCTGTTCCGTGAAGGTGTTAGATCCCAGTGTGAGGGCTCATATCAGTCGTGATCGAACTCGATGATTCCGAACCACCGTTATTAGCCACGGTATGTTTTCCGTGTCAAACAGAAAAAAAAAAAAAAAAAAAAAAAAAAAAGCCAGAAAAGGCAAGCTAAAAACGAGCAAAATAAAAACAAAACCACAACATCATCCTTGCTTGCTTTGATTTCCCTTCACAAAGGCACTGCTACACTCTCTTTCGCCGCTCTCAAATCCAAAATGGTGGGATATTTCATTTTCAGTGTGTTTGATCTGACGCCTAAATTGAGGGAAGCTGCGATGTCCCCCTGTAACCCCGGTAGTCTAGCAACATGGAACGAGCCTAACGGTGCGTTACTTTATCAGTTCTGCTTGCCGGGCTAAATTAAAATGATGATGAAAAAGCCCATCGCTCCAGCCACTGAAGGGACTGGTAGGGAAACGGTCCATTACACGCGGATCAGGGGCTATTTATAGAACTAAGCGACTACTCGTTAATGCCGCCTGCGGGTTCCAACGAGATCTCTAATAGATACTGGGTTAAACACTTGCACCCTGATTCGTTTTCTGTCCAAACTTCCTCGTAGCAAAACATTTAGCTTCGACTCGGAAGAGTAGGGCAAGGGGCTCAGACATGTCTTGGCTTTGAAAAAAAGCCCATTTCTCCCAGGAAATAATCCCCCGCCCCCTCCCAAAAGAGGCAGCTGGGGGAAATCGGAAATAATTTCTATTCATAAGGGGCACAGGCTAAGCTGAACGATTCTCGTCATCAGCAAATGAAAATTTGACTGTTTGTTCACGAAAACGAAGGCGCTACTGAGAAATCTGGAGAAGGAAGACAGCTTGTTATCTGCAAATGAATCTCTTGCTATAACGTTGTGATCTGATTGTGCATTTGTTTCCCTTCCTGCATCTCATGTGCCTGCGCGCTGACTGGCTGCCAGCACTATCTTACCAGCGCAGCAAGCTGACGAATTGCTCTTTAATAAGGCTCTCGTTAATCTTTTTCCCCCAGGAGATCCGTATTTTCTACTCCGATAAGGCTGAAAAATTTCAGGCGGCGAGGCGGCCAAACCCCCGTGGGTTCCCCCCGCCGGCCGCCCGGCGCTCCCCCCGCGCCTTCGCACCCCCGGCAATCGCAGGAGGGGCGGCGGAAAATGCCGGGGCCGAAGCAAACGCACGGGAGGGTGGCGGAACCGGGGCGCGGAGGGGAGCGGAGCGGAGGGGAGGGAAGGGAAGGGGAGGCTCCGTGCCCGACAGGGGGAGCCCGAGGCCGCCGCCCGGGGCGGGGTCGGGGCCGGGAGGTCGGGCGGACTTACCGCATATCTTCAGCCCGATCTTCCTGGTGCACCCGTGCGCCACGCCACACCACGAGTCGTAGGCTGCAAGAGAGGGCAGAGGAGTTCCCTGAGGCGGCGAGACCCCGGCGGCACCAGCCGGGGCAGCCCGGCCCCTGCGCTTTCCCCGCACCCCCCTCGGGGGGCGCCCTGTGCCCGGCCCGACGGGGCGCCGGGGGAGCGCTGCCGGGAGCGGGGCGTCCCGGAACGCGTTGGCGGGGCTCCAGGGAAGCGGCGGCTTAAAATAAAGTGGCGTGAAATGGGGTCACAGCCGAGTTCAGGAATTAATTGGGTGAAAAATAGTATTTGACTGGCTGATGGGACGTGCCTCACTGAGCCCCGGCCGGACTGACGGGCCGCGGGCAGCCGTGATGGGAGACGCTGCCGGCCCCCCAGCCCCGGGGGCACGGCACCGGGGGGCCGCCCCCTCCTCGCGGGGGGCACGGCGGCGGTGGCGGCGCCGGGGGGAGTGGTGGGTCCTGGGGAGGGAGGGCGACGGGCTGGGGCTGGGCTCACCTGGGCGGGGGGGCGGCGGCTGGGGGCCCGGGGAGCCTCGGCCGTGAGGGGGCGGCTCAGCCCCCAGCCCGGCGCTGTGCCCGTCCCCCGGCGGGGAGAAAGCCCAGCTCTTCCCCGGCCGCAGGGAGATGGCAGCGGAGTTGTGCCTGGCAGCCCTTTCGGGGTAAAAGCTATTCCCCGCCTTGCCTGACAACCTTTCGTCTCTTAACCGTTGCCCCCGCTTTGTCTCGCATGCTTTATAGCACGGAGCCTCCCCATTTATTTTTTTATTTTTGGTAGGCGACAGCCGGAATTGCCCGGCAGGGCTGTAAACTGATTCTCTATCCACCTGCAGCAGCCTCTGCTTCCCACTCACACCTCAATAACTCAAGGCGAATTCAGAGCAATTAGGAACACAAGGCTTTGAAAAGCTACAATTAGCATCCAAATTTCGCTTGATTACAGGCTTCAGCGTGGGCTGAAAGGAAGCTGTAGCATTAGCATTTATAAAACGTAAGGGAGGGGGAAGAGCCCGCTTCGAGCCATTGGTGTAACTTCGCCCTTTATCTGATTCATTTTCCCCGCTCCCTTTACAACATCCCGATTTTTTTTTTTTTTTGACAATTCAGTTTATTGTCTAAATCCGTCAAATGCGGCTGGAAGAGAAAGGCAGCGCTGGCTGCTGCGGTGGGCTCTCCCTCCCGGCGTCTTCCCCGCACGGCCCCCTCCCGCTGCCACCCGCGGCTGCTTTCTTTGTGTGGAGCACTTTCCGCACCTCGCTCAGCGGCGCAGAACGGGGCTTCACAGATTCACCGTTTCGTTTCGAATCTGGTCTTCCCGAGCCTAGGTGGAGGAAGCCTCCAAAATGCTTTAAACGAGGAAAAGATTAAAACCTACTTGTGGGTCGTAAATTAGTCGGGGTGGGGTCCGGAGCGTCGTTGGAGGACGAGGGAGCGGAGGAAGCCATCCTTTCAGAAAAGCCCCGATCCCTGGAGCTCGGGTTTCCTTCGCTATTCCTCCGAGCGCGGGTGGGCAGCAAGGAATTTACTGGAAGGAAGAAAAGGCGCTTTTAGTAGCCTGCTCTCCTGGAGGACCGCGCCGGAGTCCTGTGGATGCCGGCAGACAGGAGGCTGCAGCCTCCGCCGGGCAGCGCAGGTCCCGGGCAGGCGGCGGGACGGGCTGCCGGGGGCAGGAGGGGTTCCCGGGGGGCAGGAGGGGCAGCAGGGAGCTCAGCCGACCGCTGCGGGGCCGAGGCGCTAAGCGTCGCGCCGGGAAAATGCCTCGACAGGCTGAAGAACAAACCCGTCCCTTCGCTGAATGCCGAGGCGCTGCCCCCCTTGCCTGAATGACGGATTTAGCAGACCATGAAGTCTATCGCAATTATATCGGTGGCCGCTGAGCAGGGCGATTATGTGGCTCGCGTCAAATGCAAGCCAACGTGCAGTGCGGGCTTCGAAATTCCCAGCCCAGATGCCCTCCGGTCCCACACGGAGCCCGTTTCTATGCGTTTCCAGCCCATCCCCGAAACGCACGGCAGGCTCAGCGCTCGGAGCAGACCCACAGAGCCCCCCCGCCAAAACAAAGGTGCATTTCTCCCGAGTCCGGCGGCACGCATCACGCACACATGTGTCGGCACACGCGTGTTTCAGCAAATCAGGGGCAGGACGTGCTCCAGAGCAAGCCGGCGCTCTCCGGAGCGAGCCCTGGCGCTAAGGGCGCCGACGGCGGGGGGCGGCGGGGCCGGGGGAGGCGCGGCACCGGCACCGGCCCCCGGTCCCCGGCCCCCGCGGGCGGGCACGGCACCTCCATCACCCGCTCACCGGCGGGGCAGTGCCGGGCTCGTCCCCTCGTCCCCATGACTACCTGCGATTTATTTCGTTCCCCTTGTCAAGAAAATGAAGGTCGCGGCAACGAACGAGCGCTTTCTTTGTTAGCTGCTTTCGCACGTCGGTAGCTAGCGATTCGTTTCCATTGTTGGGCGCCTTCACGCCCGCGTGTAAACGCAACGGATCGATGGTTTCAATGGTAAACAAGTATTTCGCTTTTTTTTTTTTTTTTTCGGATGAAAAAGAAAACAACCATAAAGCAGAAGAGATTCGCTAGACAATGCCTGGGAGCGAAGTAACAGGTTAACGCAATGTCTAAGACGCTGGCTGTCTCAAAACACCCGTTATCCCTCTATAGGTACGACAGCGACCAAAACCGATTTTAGGGAAAAAAAAATAAAAATAAAAAGGAAGAATTGTAAAAAAGCTCCAGATCCTGAAAGACTCTCCCGAAGGTTTGGAAAATGGGGTGCGCATCAAGACTTACCGAGGGGGCGAGCGGAGCGCTCTGGCTGCCGGCGTCCAAGCAGGCAGGGCGACTCCAGCCTGGGAGCGACTCGCCGCTTATAAACTCCGCCAGAAACGACGTCGGAATACCAATCGCGCCGCGGAATTTAATGCGAGATGACCTTTTTTTCCAGAAGTGCTCGGATTTGCTTTTTTAAAAGCGTGAATCGCCGCTTGATCTGCTTCGACGCAGGCATGAGTCACAGGGCTGCCGCCACCCACCCCCTCCGCGCCGTGCCGAGCCGTGCACGGGGCTGGGAGCGGCGGGCCGGGGCGGGGACTGGAGGGGCGGCCCCCGGCCCGGCTGCTGCCGCCGCCCGCTTCGCCCCGCGGCTCCGGAGCTGCCCTCGGCCTTCGACCCCACGCGGGGTTTGTGCCTCGGGCAGGCGGCACCGGCGGCTTTCCCTCGATAGCACCGCCTCGCCCCGAGGCCACCTGCGCGAAGGCAGAGGCGACCCGGCTGAGCTCCCGGGGGGGCCGTGCCGAGCGCAGCCCCGCGCCCCCCGCCCCGCTCCGCCGTCCCCAGCGGCGGCAGCGCCCTCGGCGCGGGTCCCCGCCAGAGGGTGGCAGAGGCCCAGGCACCGCCGCTCCCTCGTCTTCCCGGCCGCAGGGGAACACCTGGATCTCTGTGACCTCCCCTCGGCGTTGCCGCTACCTTACGGCTTTATACCCCAGCCCCTTTTGCTAAAACGCGACTCGTTCAGGCAGCATTCCTCTGGCAGCCCGGCCCCCGGGTTTAGGTGCCTAAACCCAGCCTGTGCCACGGAGAGGGACGTTGGGGGGAGAGCAGCCCGATGGGGTCCTTCAGCCTGTGCTGGGGGTGCTGGGCGAGCAGCAGGGACGTGTCCTTCTTGAAGGACTCGAGGGGAAAACTTCAAGGTCTTTTTGGAAAGGAGCCCGACCGACTGAGGGCGTGAAGTAGGCGAGACGACTGCTTCGCCGAGCAGCCCCACTGTCTAGGAACTGGACACGGAGCAAAAGCACCGGGAGCACGAAAGGCAGCTTGCAAACACAGCTGTAAAGTTCGCCGGCCCTAGCTGCCATGTCCTGCTGCCATCTGTGCCAGGTATTCGTTTTCAAAGGTTTCATCGTTTTCAACCAATCTGGCAAAACGTTCGCTCGGCGCGGAGCAGGAGAAACGAGAACGCAATTGTGGCAAATCGGCTTTGTAAGTGACCACAGCCATGGCTAGGAAGCGTGGCCGGATCGCCGTGCAAACAGCCACCGGCAGCTCACGGAAGCCGTCCGGAGCCACGGCTCACGGCGCCCCGCCGGCTCCCCCCGCCCCGCGCACATCCGCGGCCCGGGGCAGCCGCCGGTGCCCGCAGCTCCCGCGGGGCCGCTGGGCTCAGCACCACGGACAGCGGGCGGCGCCGCACGGCACGGCCCGGCCCGGCCCGGGCGGCAGAGCTGCGGCAGGCGAGGCGGCCGCCCCCGCTAGGTGGTGCTGCTCCTCAAGGCAGCCCCGCCGCACGGCCGCTTCCCCGGGCGGCAGCGGCGGGCAGGCGGCAGCCCACGCCTCCCGCGGAGCAGGGAAGCGCTCGGTCCTTCCCCCAAACCCCGCCTCGGCAGCGGCCCGGCCGCGGAGCCCGGAGCCTTCGCTCAGCCCGGCCCCGCCGCTGCCTTCCCGAGGCTGCCGCCCCAGGGCCCCCGCGGGCCGGCTCCCGGAGGGCTCCCCGCCTGCCCTGCGAGGATGAGAGCCCCGGGGGCTCGGGGCTGTGAACCCAGCCAGCCACCCAGGTTGGGGAAGGCGCAGGGAAGCCCCGACCCGAACCATCAGCAGCGTGCAAGTGGCTGAAGGCTGCTGCCAGCGCCCCGCTCAGATCACACTCAACCAACCAGACCGCTTCCAGCTCCCTACCCGGCCGTGCCACAACACGGGGGCTGAGTACCCTGCGGGGGCACAGGAGCAGAAGTGATGCAGGGCTCCAGCGACAGAGACCAGTCACTGACTATACAGTGCTTATAAATGTGGGTGTGCTTACAAAGCTGAGTACCGAGCAGGGGAATAACCGTTGTTATTACAGCCTGTGGGCTTGAAGAGGCATTGTGCTAGGAGCTGCACACACCATTCCATAGTGTAGCACGTATTTCGAGATAGGAAAGCCTCCTGCCTACAGTGTGAGGTGTTCTCAGTGTAACTACATGCCAATGGAAAAGCAAATAGCAGAAAGGCCGTGTGCCATATTTTTTTTTTTTTTTTCCTCCTTCATATTCAGAACTACATTCCTATTATATATGAATTTATGTGAAAGGAGGAGAGTAAATTGGCTTTTTGGCAATCATTGTGATTGTTGGTTTTCCTCCATGAACATTCTCTTTCTGTCGCCTTTTGATATTTTGTTTGGATTGTGACTATGTTAGCTTGTAGGGACCAGGCATGCTCCTTTCTTAAAACTGTATACAACAGAATGCAACTGAATATCTGTGATGTTTCTGATTTTTTTTTTTTAACCACACATTTATAATAATGTATAATCAAGGCCGTTATTACAAAACATTAATTAATTGCATCAGGTATCTTTTTCCTTTCCCCACCATTTCTGGTAAACAGTCGCATCTCATTTACCTGTATCTTTGATAAACTGGAATAATTTAAATAGCAAATTTCCTTAAATCTTAACAAAAGAAAAATTGGAAAACTAAGTATTTCAGAATTTTCCTGGCCTGCACCTGCACTGCTAAAAATACAGATACAAATTATTGCATGTCTGTAGCCAAAGAGTGAACATGCCAAGGAAATTTAACAAACTATTGGTCTAATTACTTGTCCCTAGCCAAAGAATTCTACAAATGGAAATCAGGTGAAGAACTCTATTCTAAAGATAACTTCTGCTATCTGGTTTATGGCACCTGATAAAAATTCACTGAAGTTAAGAGAGAGGTTTGCTTTGGGTTTTGAGATTGATCAGATGCTGATGTATCCAGCTGTCCCAAATGTAAGGATCATGTCCATCACCCAAATTTCAAAGACAGCTCAAGATGAGCTGCCAGCTAGAACACTCAGCACTGCTGTGATGAAGGGCACTTGGTGAAATCTAATCTGAAGCACATTGTTTTACATACTTTGTGGCTTCTTGCTGCAGGATGTCCCCTTCCTGATCCATGCTGGCACGTGTTGCTGTCCGTTTTGATCTGCTTCATCTGAAAAACATCCCAAAGTTTAACCCATATCCTGAACCAACAGCAGCAGCAAATCCCCACTCTCAATATCCCCAAGCAAACATAGAGGTAAAGAACATTCCTACCTCCAAACCAGAACAAAATATATAACAGAGTTTTATTTATCTGTATGGATCAAAAGAATTAAATTGTGGAACTGTGATTATAGCACAAAAAAATAGTGACAACAGTATACCCAGTAAGTCTACTCTCTATGAGATTTAGGATTTACAACTGTTTATCCTGTGTTTAAAATAAAATTTAATTCCAGTCTGTGACATTAACCCTGTAGAGACAAGACAGCTAATGCTCGGATTCTCTCCTAGCGATATGTTGTTGTAATTGTTACATGCCTCACTGAGCTGTATCTTTTTATCCCATTGGAGGGCATCAGTTTACAATTAGAACATTCAGTAATTTCAGTAATGCTGCTGCAGAAGATAATGCAGTTTGGCTCAGAATGTATTTGTAGAACTGGACTCTGGGATCTTTTAATACATAATTTATTTAAATTAAGAATATTTCATAAAGAATCTTTAGGAAACAGGAAACATGGACTTTTCTTTCTTTCTTTCTTTCTAAGTAAAGGCTTCTCAAGCCAAAACTCACTCTCATGTATGGACTTTCCTAACTCTCAAAAATTTTCATATATTTATATACCATTATAGTTGTGCATTTGCCCCCCCCCCCCCCCCCCCCCTTTTTTTTTTTCCCTTTATTTTCTTTTCCTTGTGGTGAAGTCAGGTTTTGGCTTGATGAATTTGGTAGCACACTCTAAAGAGTCACTGGTACTTGTGAAATAGTAGGCATTTTGTAGCATCATACTTAAAAAGCCTGATCCTTCTGCTATCTTTTTAGCTACAATTCAGAAATAGAAATATTTTATTTCCAGAAATGAAGGTTCAATACACCCTGTTGAAATGAAAGTGTTTTAAGAAGAAACATGATATCTAAGTAATACTTGGGTATTACTTAAGGTGCAAACAAAGCATACAAAGGCAATGTAGAAATAGGACAATATGAACAGGTACTTTGTCCACCAGAGAAAAAGGACATGCAGGTAAGAATTTTTTTTCCTATTTGAATGAGCAGTTCATATTTCCTGTCTTGAGGGGCTTTAATTTTTTTGCATTCTCACAATAAACAGATGCATCCAATTTTGAGGACTGAAGGAGTGCATAAGTTTTAAGCAAAGCCATCAGCTGTTACTGATGTTACTTTCTTTTCAGTATTTAGTTTGGAAGATTTTATGAGAGAACTGAGGACTGACTTTAGGTAAAATACCTCTTCTCCCAGATTGAGAGACATGTGATTCTAACTGAAGTCACTGGCTCTCAAACAGATCTTCAGATTAATGTTGCATGTTCCAGACACATATTCAGATCTATTCATGTAATAAATTCCTGTCCTCTACTTTGACCCTTCAAAACTTCTAGGTAAACATTCATTTACCAAATGTTCTTGATTCCCTTTGCTGGCATTTTGATAGCTGCACTAAAAGGAGACGATCACAGGAATGAGCAGAGCTGCAGTCATCAGGGTGGGCGTTAGCCACTCAGCACTAGAACAAGAGACAACTTTGCTTCAATATCTTAAAGTTATTTTAAAGCCTGTGCACATCAGATAAAGAGCAGCACTGCCCTGAACCATGAATTGAGCACAACCTCTTTATAATCTTACAGGAAACTTAACGTTGCAAGGATTTAAAGGAAATGTCTGGGAAGGGGTTCAAGGGAGGACAATGGATAGTGCTCTGGTATTCCTGATGGCCACATTCTCTACAGGACAGATAACAAGGCTACCTTCATTACTTTCTGACCCCAGTGAGAGAACACCAACAACCTCAACTTTCATTTACCAGCCATCTTTTCTTTTCAGAGACTACTCATCTCTTTAAGCAGAAGTCCAGACTAAATAAACTTAAAGTGATCTAGCAAAAATTCTGAAAGACATGACAGATATCCAAGCTCATGCTTTTCATACCATACAGAAAAGCTTGAACTTGGATGTAGTTTCACTGACCGCTTCCTTCACAGAAAATTCTGTCCAAAGGCTTAAGCAATCTGCTGACTGCAAAATGATCAACACATAACTTTATAGGATAGTCCGGAATTTTCTTCTCCAATATTTGACATGGACATCTAATTTGGCTTGTGTATGGTTGTAAATTAGCCCTCAATTACTTCAGATATTAACATATCCATGGCTTGCCAAAGGCAAGCTATGTAAAGTCCTGCAACTGTTTGCAATCTGCAGTAAGAAAAATTGGTACACGCATTAAAAAATACTGTATTTTCTTTAAAGAGATAGTCTCTTCCTCAAAATACACACAGCATGGAATCTAGGCAAATGAAGGATAACTACCAAGAGCTTCAAGAAATTCTTGCTCAAGCAGAAGCTCTACATATTAACTTGCTACTTAAGTGTTTGTTGGTTAACAGCCAGAGCTCCAAAATACCAATTTTAAGCCAAAAACAAACCAAACAACACAAAAGATACCAAGCCCTTTTAGAAATTATTTGACAAATTTCCACCACTCAAAAGATCAAGAAGCACATATTTACTAACAAGGTTTACAAAAAAGCCACCTTCATCAGACAGTGAAAATTAGCTTTGTATTTTACAGTTTTAAATATAACTTCTGTTATTAGACATGATAAATTAGATATAAAAAAAATACTTAATTTCCTTTAAAATGTAGGTAAAGATAAACTGGCTAAAATGTCTGCTTTCCAAACAGCTCTGAAAAGCTTTTGAGGCCTTTCACCTGAGAGGGGCAATAATCCTCTTCCTATGCTCTGCAGTCACATGCATTTCTAACTACTCAAAATTATCTCTATCATTTTCTGAGTCACCAAGCTGATCCTCCTAACAGGTTTCTAATTTTGATTAACCAGACAATATAGGTTTCAGCAAAACTTGTGTATTACTCCATTTGTCTTTGCTCACACTTTTCTGTCCAATTCCACAGTAACAGTATGCAAGCTTTTCCTGGTCTAATTTATGAACGCTGTCTAAAGGTAACGGTAACATAGCTATGGCAAGGATTCAAACTTCAGAACACTTGAGTCACTCCTTATTCCCAACATGCCACCTTCTGAGTACTTTGATACATTTATTTATTTTTTTTTATTGAGTATGGGACTGTGAAAGCAGATGACAGATGTTTTAAAAGTAATTAGGGAAAAAAAAAACCAGTTATCCTTCTCTTTTTCTTTGTAGTAATTCTCTAGAGAAAGCATGAAGAACAAGAATGTGCCGGTGAAGAGACAGATGACAGGACTGATCTTCAGAAGCCAACAAGATACATAGACAGCATCTCCATGTACCAGTGTATCAAGAAGTACTGGTGAATTACAAAGGCATCTCTACAACACAGGAAGATCTCTTAAAGAACAAAAGTTACCTGGAAGACCTGGGGTTTCATGTCCTCTATGCTGCTGGGACATGCTTGTATTTAACAAAGAAAGAGACACTACAAAGCCAAGTCCTGTAACAGACATAAGCATTTGATAAATCTGTCTTCTTTACCCATGTGGATTTGCAGCAGGAATTATTGAAAGAAAAATAACACAAGACAGATACTACAGAAGCTAAGGGCAACTAAAAAAAAGTTTTTGTATATAGGCACATCTATCTAAGCATAACCAACATAAACCAATTATTTCTCCAAGACTTATAAACTTAGATCATTTCACTATTACCTGAGTATTTGTTTCTCATATGAAAAAAAAAAAGACTAAGAATTATTCAGTAACATTTAGATACATCATAGGTAAATATTGGCTTTTCTCACACCAGTTTAAAAGGAAGTAACACCCTTAAAGTTACAGCATGAAGTGGCTACTATGTAGTTTCAAACATCAATATCAGGCCTTAGAATTTCTGTAGTGAAAAGCAATACTAAACTTTAATGTACTCATGTCTTTAATAAAATATGTTTACTGTATCTTTTCTTCTGCCTACCCCAGAACAGCATGTTAGCTATGTTTGGTTTTCATTAGTTGACTTTACTGAATGTGATTACACTCAATCCAATTCTCCATCCCCATATAACTTGGGATTTTATACAATAAAATTCTTACTATTTAAAAAAAATAAACTTTAAATACAGTAAGAATTGGCTACAAGCCTTACCTGCAGTAGCATGGCTTAAATCAAAATATTTTCATAATTTTAGTGCAAATCTCTCGCTTTATCTGTGCAGTTAGATATGTACCTTTTTATAGGCATGCCAGTCAATTTATATTTGGACTTTTAAAAACACTTAGCTTATTATCTGTTTCTTTCAACATTGTAACATGGTTCACTTAGTCTTCACCATGTGGACACCAACTGATTTGAGGTAATACATATGGCAGACATCCCACATAGACATCTGCATTAAAAATGGCAGAAGATATTAGCACAAAATGTAAACCATCTTGAGTTTATATATCCGATCTATTCTTGAGATACTCTATTAAAAAGGGAATTTGCCTTTCAAGAGTATATCTGAATCATTTTAAAGTTTTAATGCCAGTCCAGAAAAATCAGCACATTGATAAAGTAGGAGGAACAATCCCCAGTCTATGAGTTTTCCCTGTCCATTTTAAAAGTGTGGATATGAATTCATTTAAGACTTGAGCAAGTGGTTCTTTCTTAGAAAAATCTCCAAATTAAAAAAACAAGCAATAGGAGCTGAGTAACGCAGACTCTAAAACTAACAATTCAGGAATCACAGCCTTAGAGGGCTTGATCATTTTCATTCCTTTCCATTTATGTGAGAAAAGAGGTGCTCTACTTTTCCCTGGAAAGCAGATGGCTTACTTATCTCTTGTCCACTTCTACAAACCAAACTTTTGTTCTTTATACAGCTTAGTTGTGTCCAGAGAAACAGCTGAATATCTGTGGTAAATTTACTCCAGAAGCTCGGTCCTGTAATTTCTTTATGCAGACCAAACCCACCAGGAATGTGAATTCAAACTTCCACAGTTGAATATGAATATTTTACATCACAGTGACACCCTTCAGCCATAGAGTATGTCGTCTCAGTCTATACATTTTTAAACATTAACAAAAAAATAATACTGAAGGGATACAAGTCACAATCTTATGAGTTACACAGATTTTCTGATCAATTTTACAACTAGCATTTATTCAACAGTGCTATAGAGTTTCTCTCTAAATTTGGACAGGACAAAAACCTCAGGTAAAGCTTTTCAGTTGAAATACTAACAGCTGTTTCATTAATGTCAAAGCTATACAACCAATTTTCAGCAAGCTGTGTTTTTATTTTAAGGTGGCATTTCTGTCACTCAAAACTTTGTTGTCATTTTCCAGAATAAAGAGTTTCACAAAATCATACTGGAAGATTTATTTTCACCCATTCAAGTGGAATGTAGCAAATGTAATACTCCTAAAATACTATGTTTTGCTCAACTGACAGTCTAAACCACAGTTTCCATGTGACTTGCTGCTCCAGGGAGAAAATATTTTACCAGTTACTTCTGCATACGTCAAGTATGCATGTGTCATCAAGTTAGAGAACAAGGTTATTTTTGCAGGTATAAGTTTGAAAGTAACACAAGGACAACAAAAATTCCAAGGTCTGATATTAATGTTAAAGACTATTGAAATTCAGAAGAAAAATATTATTAAACAGTGTAATTTAACATGCCTGTTGGAGAATCACAGAATCATCTTCAGAAATACTATAGGATTTTCCAACAAATTTTCTTCAGAATAACAACTTTCTTCTCCTTTTTCATTACTACTATTTGAATAGCTAATACTCTTGGTGTTGCTGTTTCCGCTTTCATCGCTTTTTTCTTCATCATCTTCACAAATGGGGATATTTGCAGGTTCCAATTATCCTTCTGCTATAAAAATACATAAATTTATTCTTTGTTGTACTATATTTTGTATTAAAGAAGTTAAAAGGAAGCAAGTAAGACAATTAGTTTCACCTATTTTCAATTAAATCATTAAATACTGATTAATCCTTTCTAGCAAATGAAGAAAGCTCTGCAATGATTGTGTGTCAGACTGCAGAGTTAAAACTATGAAGTCAGCTTGTATCCTGAAATGTGCTGTGACCACTTCACTCTTGGAATAGGCTCAATATAGCTCTAAAATCTACACAGCTGGTCACCAGAATATCTCTCATTGAGGGGTGGAGGGGAATGCTCAGATGAATTAAGCCACTGTTTAAGCTTCTTTGTTGTTCCTGTTTCCTGTAGCTACATAACAGCAAGAGAATGGGAGACGATTCCTACTCCTTTCTCCTCCTTTCCCCTTTGCCAGGTGTCTTTATATGCTAAAATATACAGGACTAGGAAGTCCTGATCATGAATAAGTAGTGTAAGCTATGGAAGGGAAGAAAATGCACATCTAAATCTAAAAATGCTTTGGAGTATCCAGAGATGTCTTAAAGTAATCTTACAATTCTCTCCTTTTCATTGCAGTATATTACAGAACTCTGAGGGACTTCCCTTAAGGTTAACGCCTTTCAGCCTAATACCCATTTGATGACAAACGCGGCTAACACTTCAGCACAATTCAATCACCTTAATCACAGGTAACATCTCAGATCACCATCAGCCTTCTTTTTGTGAATCTACTGAGTTCCCTTACTTATTGTTATATATTTGCTGCTGGAATTATCCTGCCTAACTGCTAGGAATTTTTCTTGAGTGCTCCTCTTCCACTTCAGTGCAGGGTGAGCCGAATTAGTTCAAGGTCTAAATCAATGCTATGGACTAAAGTAGTTTACACTATATTGACAAAGATAAGGGGAGCTCACTTAGCCCATTCTACCTGTTCTGAGTTTAAGAGATGGTTTGCAAATTCATAAGAAGGTTTCTGACTCCTTCTTCCTTCTTTAATGTACTGTAAAATGAATACTTGCAATTAACAACTAGAAAACATTTACTCTGGCATTTTATAGCCCAAAGTAGCCTATTTAAATCTAGAAAATCTAGATTAATACAAATATTTTCTCAATTACTGGCTTCTAAAACACAAAGTTGGGTTCCTATTATTACTATAATTCACCGTATTTATCTGTGAAAGGCAAAAATGTCTCTACAATAAAATAGTGTAGCTGTGATTTGCAAACTTACTCATCAACACCTTTTCTTCAAGAAGTAGAAAAAACTGCTTGGCCTCAGCATTTTCTGGTTCACAGATCAGAACTCTAATTTAACAGCATAATATATTACTAACATACATATGATGACAAAAATAAATAGAAAAACAGAAATAAGGCTGTCATTTATGGTTCATGAAAGTGCAATTATACAAATGAAGAATTTTACATACACACATATCAAAACGGTCCATTCATAACCTAAAGAGTGTCAAGCCTATTGTTATAAGCTCTGCTCCCAGGTAGCACCATAATTTTGATAAAGTGACTATGATGCAAAAAAAATATTCTCAGTTGATATTATTAGTAATTTTGTATGAAAGTCTAGAATTAGGATGGGAAAAAGACAAATTACATTTAAGAGTAATAATGTCATAAGAATAATAAACACAGAAAATCAGATAACAGGTTAAAAATCTGAAAGAAACCCCCAAACAGTAAGACATGAAAAAGCATTAATATTATTTTCCATACCATGTGCATGCATAAACCATAAAGTGAGAAAAACCTATGTAATTACAAAATTTTACCTGAAAGAATAATCTCCGTATTTTCCTTAAGAGACAACCTCCCTCCCCTACCTAATCTCTCTTCTTTTTCAGAAGTACCATCTTTCCTCTTACAGTCCAATAGATATCTAATTGAATTCAGACTATATTAGGATCTTAACTTATACTTAGCTTTGAAGTTTTCTGTTCTGATAACATACTCGAAGGAGTACTATGTCTGGAATTTGTGTACTTTTCCTCAGTTATGCAAGTTGGTCCAATAAAAGACATTACCTCTGCCATTGCACCAGGCTTATGTTTTTAGTTCATCACCAATATAACAATGCTTCCACAGGAGTCATTCCCACACTTCTTTTTTCTTGCTGGCATGAGAAACACCTAATAGCATAATGGAAAAAGGAATACATCCAGCAAAAATGTCCAAGAAAGACCCTATCCACAATGGCCTTAATTTGCTGATTAGATTTTTTTTTTTCCTTGGGAGTAGAAATTGAGATTTAAATCCCTGAAAGCAAAAGGAACTAAATTGGAGTCTGTTGAGATAAAAAAATAAAACTTTCACTGACTTCCTCTGTAGAATTTCTTTACACTGGCCAAGTCTTATTGTCTGGCATATAAAGTTATTGATGCTAGCAGAATTTCAGACTCACCAGCTTCAGAAAACACAAACTTTATTTTGACAGAAGTTATTCTGTAGTGTGTCAGCCATTGGATGTTTGTTCCATGTTAGTCTAGCTAGAGGGCATCCACCACGTATTTATGGAGCTCTGTAATGCACTGGTAAAAGCCAAATGTTTTCTTTTTGTTGCTATATAAAAGACTATTCTCTACAGAGCTATATTCAGGAGATAACAGAACTGAAAAACATGTTTCTTATAGTCTGAAGTATGTTTACAGGCAAATGCATTACAGAGATAAGCACTCATCCCAAGGGTGAATACTTCTCCGTAATGCCAGATATAAACAGGTGCCAGGATGGTATAGTTAGACCTGAGGAAAAACATTATTTTGCACAACTGAGCTGCACAACTATTGCTTATAACATCTAATATAAAATAACCCATCACAAACATCTCATTTGATTAGTCATACCCTAATATATATATATATATATATATAGTAAAAATTACATAATTTTTCACTTAAGTTATCTGTAATAGCCACAGCAAAATAATACATCACTATGTAATAATCCTACAATAAATATTTTCTACAGACAAATGAGTTGGTTGAGAAATGAACACATATGTAACACACGTATTCTGAAGGACAAACCAGTAGTTCTAGTCATAATGATGCATGAGTAACCTCTCAAAGCTGAAAATCCCTCAGTTATAAAGTACCAGAAAGGAGCAGTCATTTAGCTTGCTACCTTCCTGCTTTCCACACAGCAAAAGAATTTTTCTTACATTTTAACAAGCCTTCTCCTATTATCCATGCTTTACATGGAATATGATGAATAATGAATTTTTTCTTTGCAATTAATTCCAAGGCAACCCAGATCAAAGTTGGGTTCAGTGACAAAAAATGGCTCTAAATTTTAGAACGTGTTTATTTTTGAAGCCATGTCTCGCTGACAGACCCATCCAGTTCAGACCATGTTTTCTCTGGCTGCCCAAGATGCTGCTTTTCTCCCCTCTGTCTGCGCTTACCCTAGGCAATGGCAGAACATGCTGACTGCAGCTGCCTGATCTGTGCCACCAGTCTCTTTGGCAAATCTACTATGTAACAGAAATTCAAGCTGGGATAGAAAATGTCTAATTACCTGCACATCCTGCTAAACTTGCAATTCAAGACTATGGTGAAGGTAGCCACAGAAGTCACTGTGGCAAGATTTCTTGCTCAGCATTGCCGTCAATCACCATCTGTTGACTGACCTCCAAGTGACCAGCCATTGAAATATACTGGATGCTACCTCAGTTTTTTAGAGGATTTAACACCTATTAAAAAACAGGGCAAAATCAGACTTATTTTTAATTGATATTTTAGAGATTTGTCTTGCATGGGAGACACTCATTGTCCAAATCTAAATCCTAAAGTGCCTTATATTAAAAAGTAATGATTTTCCACATAGGGAAAACAAAATACATTCTCCTCCAAAGTTATAACACAGTGAAAGTACAGCGTTTTTCAGCTTCTACTGAACGAAGCTAGATAGCATCCAGACTATCATGGCCAAAAAAAAAAAAAAAAGAGGTTATGATCTGAACTCAAATCCCAAGAAAAAAAGTTCTTTTGCAGACTTATTTCTCACTTTGCATATGTATATAACATTATAACATTTATGATAAAGAAAGCTACACTGAAGTTCTTCCCCCCCCCCCCAGGCAGTACCTCACTGGGGCTGACAGCATCATTCTGTTCTTCAACGCACACGGAATGGTGGCAACGGTGGAGATCATTTATTGACACTGCATCCCTCAGCAGTTCCACAAACTTTCCTGAGCTTTAACAGCTCACGGAAGCCTTTCCTTTTTTATGGTTCTTTGAGATCAACATTGAAAACATCCAAGCAATTGAAAGTGCTCCTGTGTTTGTATACAGCAACTATGTTAAAGCATAAGTAATATTTATTTCTGCTTTTTCAACCATTACATTCCCTCAATAATTTGTCATTTGAGGTCTTAAAAATAGGTGAGTATTATCAGTAGCTTCCACAAACACATAATCACCATCAGCATGATCAAATCACACAGTAATTTTGTGGTCAGTTATAAGAGTGCTGAAAACAGTTCTCCAAGAAATAGACCCAGACATAGAAGATTCAGATGTGAACATTCAAGCTACAGCTATAAAGTTTGGAGAGTATGCATCCAGTATCCCACAAGGTTTCTCTTTATTTTTCCAATCCAAACCAGTAACTTTGCAAGAACAATTATAATAGTAGAGGGAGATGACAAAAATTCATTTAAGTACAGTTTAATAACTACCTCAGAGTTTCTGCATAATGGTGCCCACCCTAGAATCATTAACTGCTTCCAAATGGCACACACCATTTGAATCACCATTTATGTCCAGAAGGGGCATTGCCTGAACAGCTAATAGCGTCTTTCAGTGCTACATTGAGAGCTGAGCAGAGCTGGAAGCTGATGCTTGCTACTTTTGCCTCTTTATGGGTGAAAAAAGTAAGACTGGAGTAAGTTTTTTTCCTGGTCACGATCCTGTTGTTGCTTTGTTGCACGTTTAATGTATTTCTTTAATGTGTACCTGAGCAAACTTCAGTTTGGAAGCCCTTGAGGAGTACAAGGTATCGGGGCACATGGAGAAAGTAAGGAAATGTTACATGTCACAGCTTTAGTAAAGTGCACACATTGAATTATGGGCAAACTGTAATTTTTTAGTCTAGTCTGCTTCTCTAGAGTGAATATTCTTTTCAAGATAACCTGCCTGGGAAGTCATACAAATGTAATAAGCATTAGGTCTGTAGTCTTAAGGGATACACACATTTCTTGACTGAATAAACCATTTTAAGCTTCACAAAAAACACAGAGGTAATGAAAAACAAAATCCCATTCTGATGCACTGAAATAATAGGATATCATGACTTAAAGATTAGAAGTATTAAAAAAGCATACCAACTGGTTTATTTGGCAAGCCCAGAGTTTTCTCTTAACCTTGTAAGGACTTTAGTTTTGGTGGTTAAGTTTTTCAAAGCTGTGAAGCCAACGTCAGGTTGAACTTTGCACACATCGATGCCCATAATGAAGTTTCTATTGATGTCGGGGCACAGGATCAGCCCTGGAGAGGCATTTTCACAGTATTTTTTTTAAATTACTGTTTCTAATTATAATGTCCTTATGTATTCTATACAAAACATGTTACACTTCTCTATCCATGTTTTTCTATAGGAGTGATAATAAAAACAGTAAAAACAATTATAAGACTAGTCACAGAACATGAAGATGTTGAAGTTCCTATAATGCAGCTTACACAATTTATTTTTATAGTATTTATTTTTTATTTGATTTAAATAACAATGGTGCCAAGTGAACCACGGATTAAAGAGTTCATCCATGTATTTCCAGTCTTTCAAAATTAATTGGATGACAAATGATTGCATTATCGAGCTCTAATTGCTTAAAAAAGCATGTAATAGATCAGCTGCAAAACCAAAGACTTCTTTCTATGGCACTGCTTGAATTGATTCAACAGCCACTTTTGAAAAGCAAATACAAAACAGCTGTTTCACATTTGGTTAACCTGATGCAAATTTTGTTCCTTATCTCTGTGATTTCTTGAACTTGAAGATGGTGATCTGTTTAGGAGTTCCACTTCAAATATGCACTACCGAACTGACCAACCCCATGCTTACTTAGATTTTCTTAATTAGGTAACAAGTATTTTAAAACAAGTGTTTTAAAAGTTTAAAATTATTTAACAATTTACCTTTTAGTATCCAGATATATAATTTTTAATTGTGCATATCTGTTTACTCACAAAACAGAAAAAGTAACTTTAAAAAGTATTAATTTTCTATTTAGCATATGGCATTACTAAATTCATTATGCTATGATTTTTTTTTTTTTGCAATTTTAATACAAATCCACAGAAAGATATAAGCTGAAACTTTGCCACCATTTCATCATCTACGTGGATATTCAGAGCAATACAATTTAAAATATCATCAATAGAATATCTAAATGAGAAAAGAAACAAACCGTTGGCATAAAAGAGGCATATATTTAAGTGCTAGAGTCAGCTGATGCTTACACTCTTAGTCTCTGTCCTTTTTAAACAATTGTGCCTAGTAGAAAATTAAAAGCAAACAAACAAAAAACTGCATTAAAAAATTTTAACACCAGACTATCAGAATTGGTCCAAATAGACATGCAACATCAAAACAAATTGATTTTATTTTTATTTTTTAACATTATGGGCACCACATGATTTTACCCAGAAACAGTTACTGAGGCAATTTCCTGATGTCAACTCCTAACTCAAAAAAACAAAACAAACAAACAAAGAACACAAAGAAAAACAGCCAGGACTTTCCCAGTATTTTCTACAAGCTCATGAGGTGGGCTTCTTCCCTGTGGCCTCCATCTCTAGCAGAAGAAATCCATCCAGCAATGCACTGACGCACATGCTCTCACTCTATCCCATTATGTAAACAACCACAGTACGTACTTACGTCCTATTGAGATCACTGAAACTTAAATGTCTGCTTAAATCAATTTCTCTGTGGATTCCTTAGTAAGCAAACCACATGAATGCTGCTATTATGCTCTTTAACATTTATGAGGTGCTAGAATTTGTAATTATTGTTTCCAATGGCCTTGATTTTTCCACTGTTAGCAAACCACCAGCACAGACTGATTATGTAGTACTAGTGGATCATCACAACAGAGCAATATAGAACAAATGTAAAATGATTCAAAAAATGTGTCTAATGAACACTCTTCATCGTCAGAGAAACAAAAAATTAAGCTCCTATGCTATGAGCGCCACATATCTTACCCTAGAGCCATTTAAAGGTCTTACTTTCTATGTCTTCTAAAAAAATACAATTGAGTCTACAATAAGTATGTCACACCCTGCATCCACACCTTGGACAAGAGCAGTTCAAAACTCACCTGGGAGAGAAGGGACAGCATACAGCCCCTCCTTGTCCACTGAACTATGGCTGGCATTCAAGGAGAGGCAGTGGGAATGAAAGTGCTACAGAGGTTTAGTGGAGCTGTAGGCTGCACTGTGTCTTTTCCCATCTGGCAGATCCCAACCAGGTAACTAAGCAGGGCTGTGCGACGATGTGTGACTCTTCAGTGAGTGAAGGAGGTTGCTCTTCAGTGTGTGAGGAGGAACAGCAGTCTCTACAATAAAGAGACACACAGAAAGTTATTGTGAATTCAAAATGAAAAAGATTAATTGCACTTACACAAGTACCTAACCTAAAAAAATCCTCCATCAGCTACAAAAAAAAAAATCAAAAAACCACCACAATATTTTTTCCTTAACTGTAACTACAGTGTCAGTTATGCAACTATATAAAATTATATATAAAATTTGAATGTAAAAGTTTCAACAAAATTAAAGGAAAAAAAAACTTAAAATTTCATACATCACAAAAACAATGCCAAGAGCAGCAAGTATCCTACTTAACCTACTTCGCCCTTCAGAATGTGCATTTTTTATTATAATTCTAATTTGGTCCACTGGGTGGATTGCTCCTCTTTTATCCACTAGGTTTGGTCAAATCAGGGCAATACAAGAACCACTGATGCATGAAATGATAGGTCAGTGTAACCTTGTCATGGAGTAACATCCCTGCAAATCACAGTAAACAAATAAAACAATTCATTTTATATGCACAGGGTTTTAGGCATAAATTTCAAAAACCTGACGTAGGAACATTCTTACTTCAAATATAATATATTGCTGCATACTACTATATGAAAAACTGATTTAAATAACTTCTTAACAAACAAGGGGAGAAATTTACAACTAAGCAGTAGTTGTAGCGGCCATTAAAAAGTCCCCTTGAATCACCACTGGCTGCAGTGGCCATTAAAAACTCCCCTTCATCCACCACTGGCTATTCCCAGATAAGTATACCTGATTTCTTCTTATGATCTTTGTACAATGAAGGCTTTGTACAAACTTTTGCAATCAAGATGTGCCTTTGTTTTCTTGTCTGTTACAGATGTCTCTAGGTTCATCTAAACATGAGGCACAGTACTTTAAGCACAACTTTTACATGTAACAGATTTGGTGTTGCAATGTGTATTTTTCTTTTTAATTAGTTTATCATGCCAAAGTTAGTATTAGATTGTTAAAGTTTCCAACCGTTTAAAAACAGATTTGTCTTTTAGACGATTAATGATCATATAAGAACTTTGTAAGACAAGTATAAAGGTAGTCAAAAACGGAACTACCACCCCAGTAGTCCCATACTAAGACATCATCCTTTAAACTCTATTAGAGATATTAATGTGTGGTTTTATTCTTAAATAAAAAATAATAATAATTTATTTTCCTCTGCTGTGCATTGCTATTAATACAAGACCTGTTTTTAAAACTTTCAAAATAAGCTACATATATGTTTGTGTGAATGCACACACATAGACAAAGGGTGGAAAACACAACTTACAAGGTTGGCATTGTGTGCTCACACTGTTTTTAGACAGTGGGAATTAAATACTTTTTTTATAAAAAAAAAAAAAAAAAAAGTATTTCATTCCTACTCTCCTCCCTTTCAGAAAAACACTATTTCACTATTTTATTTTTTTTTCTAGTTAATTCAGTAACACTGATATTTGGAATAAGTTATTTTATTCCAAATTTCTTACATAATCAGAGCTCATAATCACTGAAAACAGACAGTGGTATTACAACACACTAAATATTGCTTGATGCTATCACTTTCACTAACAACAAATACAGGCAGCATGGCTCTTGGATTGAATCTCTCAGCTTTCCAAGTGGAAATTTAAAGAACCCAAAACACCATTTAAAAGCACAAAGGTGGCACATACTTTGATTAATATTCTTTTTGCTAATATGATGGGGGATAAGTTGAATATGTGTGGAGAATCCAACAGTTCTAATGTTTCCCTGTTCTAAAACAATGGATGAATAACAAGTATGAAGCCATCCAGGAATTTTAGAAAGTCTGAAAAAAATAAAGAAATAAAGGCAAATTAAAAAGTGCTATGTAACCAGAGGTCCATTAAGTCATTTTAAGGACACGAGTCTCACATACTCAGCAGAACAGAGAAATGGGGATTCTGTGGGCCTGTAGACATCTAAGGCCCATGATTTTCCACGACTGAGGACTCTTGGTTTGTGCACATTCTCTAACTAAATCAAACACACACACAAAAAAACACACACACACAAAAAACAAACAAACAAACAAACATGAAGAAACACAGTTTAGATATTCTAACCTACACACTGCAGTACCACCAAGACACATCTGCCCAACGATCTAACTGGACCCTCTTAATCTTAAAAAGGTTTGCTGTATGCAACAGCTGTATAGAGGACAAACTATGTCTACTGCTGAGTATCTAACGCATACTGAAAGGCTGAGTTTTGTTTTTGTTTTCTTCCCTTCCTAAAACAATTTTAGGTAGCCATAGGGATACTTTTCTTAATTAAAAAGTATTTCATTTTATAAACAAACAAACTATTTTAAACTTAAAGAATCAGTGAATGGAAAAAAACTTGCATATTTTAAGCATTATCTAACTTAAACATGTATGTAACACACAGCTGCATAACTTAACATGAAAATATAGATCAAAATAATTGTAAAGTCTGAAATATATTGTTTATATTTATACATTTCACAGAGTAAAGAAGTGTTGGAAACAGGTGTTGAAAATATTCCATTTTTCATGTGGGAGATGAGAGAGCACACATGCTGCTCTCATGATAGATATCTCAAGTAGGGTACTCCTGTTAGTGCAATTTTTCAGAAAGTGGACATGTCAACTACACAATTTACACAGTAAAACCCAGAGACAGGTCTATGCTACAATGTCATTATTAGTTTTCATCAGGGTCTGTCTGGCCACACAAAAGACAATATATTAATATTCTTAATATTTCTTAAAAACACAAACCAAAAATTCAAAACAAAAATATAAGACACTAAAATATGTCACTTATGCTCTTATATACTAATAGGAAACACACTTGCCCCTGTTTTAAGAAAGGGCTTGGAAATTATAAGCTCTTTACTTATCTGTTATCTATTAATCTATTATCACAGATAGCTCCTATGAAAATACCATCTGGACTGATCAGTTTTGGCATTCTAAAAAACTGAAGAAGAAAAAAATATTAAACAAGCTTGGTCACCATATCCATTATAAAATCAACTCGAGATATATGAAGGCTCCTATGAAGAAAATCAGTTGGTTTTCCATTAACCGTAGCCTGAAAAGTCCTATGATGCAGTACCTATATGCCAAAAAAAACACTGATAACATTCGACAAAAGGATCTGGAACTCATCTGGATCAAAAATAAAGCTATTATTTTGTAGTCAGTGTTAAGGATACATAAATTTTCCTAGAGCATGCAGATCAGAAACTCAGTAACAAAAAGCAGTGTTCCTCAACACGCAGTAGCTGTGCATCCTTGAAAGCAAGAGCAACGTCTCTGCTCTCCTTGCCAGCACTGGCATTTGTAAATGTTTTCCCCTTACCACTATCTCACTTTGAAGCAGCCAAAGCAAGCCGTATTTCAGTTGCTGGGTTTTGGCCTAACCTCACAGAAGGCACACAGCTGTCAGGAAAGCACAATGTTTTATGTTTGAATTCCACTGAAGGGCCAGGCTCTGCTCCCTTAAAAGTCAGAGAAAGTTTTTCCTTTGACTTAATTGGGAGCAGAAAGAGGTCCCAAGTAGCAAGTTTCTTCAACAATGTGCCTATTTCAGTGGAATAAAGCCACAGGCAAAAAACAGGCCAGCAGGGAAGAATACCAGTGCTGCCACCTGAGAAAGTGGCTGAAATCCAGGCTAGATCTCATTGACATCCCAGATGTGGTCCTACTTAATCTTCTGACAACAGATAGCAAATGCCACTGAAACAACCATGTCAGCCCAGCACAGGTGCCGAGCTGGTTTCAGTCTAGGGGTCCCTACTGACACTTGTGCCTATGGGCTGCTCCACACATGACAAGACCTGTCCCATGACGAGCACCTACAGCAGTGCATGCATGCGTTCAGCCTGCCACCACAGAGCTGAACCCTTCTCCTGCACCTGGTCCTAAGCTCAAGGAGCTGTCACCACTGCCCCATGCCTGCTGCTGCTGCCCTTAGCTCGTGCCCTGAGCATTGCGGTTACCCTGGAGCCCCGAGCCCCTGCCTCCCTTTGGTGCCCTGCAGCAGGAGATTTTTCAGCTGGCTGATGCCATCTGGCTCTGGTCCACACATGGCAGGGGATTGTTCAGGAGTAGGAATGAGCAGCACAGGCGGAAGAGGGGGAATTAAAAAGAGATAGGATTAACTACTTCAACTGACTGAAGCAGCACAGGCTCTGAATGCTGAACCACATGTCTTACGACATGGATCCCTCAACTGCAGTGTACAGGAAGCTCACCAGATCTTACGTACTGCCTTGGAAATACATATACACACACATGGAATCATAAAGATGTGTTAGGAAACTTATCAGAGAGAAACGAAGTATCAGAAGGGCTATCCCCTTTCAAACATTAACATCCTAGCTGTTCTCATCTTTTTGTTTCACGCAATAAAGGAACAAGATAAAAGTCAGGACTATCTGCTTGTCAAATCACATTTCATTCTTTTAAATTAAATCAGCTTTCATGTTATACAAGCCTACAAAAAGGTTTTGAAAGCTGTAAACCCATACATTTTAACTGCTTTAACTCCAAAGTTTTCCACTAATGGGAAAAAAGCTTCAGGCTGCGCGTGCCAGCGGGGGGCTGCAGTGGCACCGCTCAGCCCAGGGACACCCTGTGGAGCGTGGCCATGTGTGGAACATCAGTCTCGACACCGATTATTGTTATTATTATTAATTATTATTATTAGGAAGTTGAGGAAGGCAGATCTGCAAAATGCGTTCCTGCCCACAGCAAAGAGCCGAAGCTCCCTGGCCGCAGGCAGGCCGCTGACCCTGCCGACTGCACCTCAGCAGCACGGGCCGCAAAGAGGTGTCCGGGCCCCATGGGCAGCCCGTGGCCCTACCCGGCATCTGCCGCGCTCCCTGGAGGAGGGGAAAAGGCTTCACTGAGCGCAATTAAATCCCCTCAGCACCAGCGAAAACTGAAATGGACGTAAACACAACAGCTCCTCCTCAGCGAGGGTATCAGCTATGCACACAAACAGCTATCTACAAGCACTGCGGGCCTGCAGAGTGTAAAGCCGTTCGTAACGGGATGAGACAAATCCGTGAAGGATCAGTGTGTCGCGACTATTGAACGCAACAAGCTACATCCAATTCCAGCTCAGGAAGTTCCCGGAGCACTGTTCCCCAGAAGCTGAGAGGCCATGCCCAGGGGAATATCTATTTAAATATGCTTTGTTTTTAATCCATTTTCCTTAAGCATCTGTTACTGCAAAGCATGCTCCTAGGTTAAACAGACCTGTGGTCTGGCTCATGATGGTTATGCATCTCTGTTACACTTGCCCTTTCCCCTGAGAAAACCATTCTGAGCTTCTCCATTCCTGCTTGCCGAAGGAAGCTGTGTGTGACAGTACCTCTCCAGTGATTATTTGGCTGGGTCTCAGGGAGCGTGCACCTTCCTTAAGGTCATGGCCCACCCTACCACCACCCAAGAAAAGGCACAGCCCTGAAATTATTTTAAACAGATGCAGCTAGGATATCATTAAACCTTTCCTGAGAGGATTACCTTGGAGTGGGTAAAATATACTGACCCCAGGGGCATGAATCAGAGCCCTGCTAAGAACTCAGAAAAAGCTGCATCCCGGTTAGGTAGAGTTATTAAAAACCTATTAACTGAGGCCTAAGACCTGAAGGAGGCAAGCTGCAACCCTAATTAAGGTGTTTTGTTGCCACAGGCCACAAAAACTTTGGGGCATTACCTGTGAAGCCAATGTGCCATCTATCTCTGGGCAGATCTTTAGGGCTTACCCTATCTTTTTGTGAACCTACTCAGCCGAATGGTTGCTTATTGCCGTTTAGTTTAAAGTGATTTCCCAATGACAATGAAAATAAGCTTGATATAAGTAAAATTGTGAGAAAGTCACTTTACATGTTACAATTCTTAGATTTCTGAACTTGAAAATCCTTGGTATTAAACATCATTACTGTAGCTCTAGATGCATCTCACGCTAACATGCTTTAGTGTTACAGATTAGTTGGTTAGGATTTCCCGATAAGCAATTAAGAAAATGTTCCATGTTTGGGGGGGAAAAAAAAAAAAGTGCTCCTTTCTGTCAGCCCAGCTGCTAAAGACAAATATTTTCTTTTTCAAAATTCTAATTTTGATACTGGATTGTAATTGATGCATAGGAAACTTTTACACATGGAAAGGAGAATAGAGAATCAGGATGGCCACTTAGTTTGCCTCTGACTGATTTAAGACTTCATGGCTTAACCAAAGAGAAGGACATCTCCTGCAGGCAAAAAATCAGATGAGACTATTTTATGCTTTTGATTTACCTTTTTGAATAAATGATGATAGATAAAAGTGATATCACTCTATAAAAAAGCGCTGTGGAATCAGCAGCAAGTCAGGAGGTTTGGTTGCTTTGATTAAGGTTTTTCATGTGGCATTGAGATGGTAGGAACTCAGTCATTTCTGCAGCAAGATTTCATGAGAGAGACTACTCTTACTGCTTTTGAGATCAAGAGCAATACATTCAGGACATATTAAGGATGGTACATTACATAGTCTATTAGTTTTAAAGGGGTGAGGCATGCCTATAATTGGAGGAAATCTTGGTTGGCTCATTTATCTTATTCTATTTTATAAAGTGTGCTTTGCTCTATGCTGTGTTTTCCTCTTACCCCTTTTAAACAGGAAGGATTTTTTTTTTTTTTTAATTAAAGAACAAATAATTAACATATAATTGGCACATACTCCATAGGTTAAAACCAGTACAGGCTCTGATGTGATTTAATATCTCAGCCACGGGAGGAGGATGAGGACTGCAGCATCCCTAGACTACTGC